CCATAATGCAAGGAAATTAACATGTGTTGGCTCAAATTACAGAGAGCAAACTGGTTAATGCTGAGCGACTAAGTAGCAATGCTGGGCGAGAGATTCGTATTACCTTCAGCGTAGCTGCCAAAAGCTCTTGCTCCGCCCAAACGTTATAGTGGTTAGTGATGCTGACTTACAGATGAGCCCGGGTTCGAAATTTAGAGAAGGTATATATGTTTGAGTGTACAGTTTCCGTGCGGCAAGAGGACACTTAAAATACACAGCAAGCCAGTCCGCTCAAGTGCTGGGAGAAGGGTGGGATGTCTTCGGACTATCCCGGAGAGTTCTTCCTCAAAACTGGGCTGAGCTGCACGATTAGTGTGCTGGGACTACACTTATATAATTTATGCTGAAATTCTGGTATATCGCTAGTGTACCTATCAAAAGCTGTCTTTTTAAACGTTCAAGAACTCTCTTAAATACTCGTATCACATTTGCATATTGGTGAGAGCTACCGAAAAGAAGTGTAGTTCCGAATCATAAGAAAATGGGTTATTAGCATTAAAATATATTTTACAGTCTGAGTGCTGTTTTGCATTTAATTGTTTTCCATCATTTGGAGCTGAAGCTCGGATTGTTTATTATTGGTTCGTATTTAAACTGCGGAGTATTTTATGTTAATTAACCAATTATTATGATTTAAACCTTTACAATAACAATAACTTTTTTTCAGCAGTCCTCGCCTTATAAATTAGATGATAGATTATTATTAATATTATTATATTACTTTGAATGTTTTAGATGTTAAGCTTTCTGCAGCGTCGTTTGCAGTTTACGTTCTATAGTCCAGCTCTGCTAATGAATATTCCAGCTTTACCGTTTTCGCTAGCCGTCGTTAAAACGCGGCATTTAAATGTTGAGCCAGCTTAAGTAAACCAATCTGTGTAGTCTTTAACTGCGATACCTTGAATATAAAATTTCAGCTTATGTTATTTTAAATATCCTTGAGCATGTTATGATTGTAAGCACTAGGTGTGCCTTCTGTTTAAGTTCCAGATTAAATAAAAAGGCTATTTAAAAAATTCTCACCACTGAGCTATAACTTGCTTGTTTGTCTCATAAGGTCAGAAGAATTTTGATTTAATTTTGACACAATTAAGATTCTATAAAACGATCAAATTAACAGGGCATTTATGTTTCGAGGTTAAGCAGGAGCTATATTTTCTGACATAAACTATAAGGTATTTCTCCTGCCTTCTAAGCCTGCCTTCGTAGTGTAGTAGTCATCACGCTGGGCACGTGTTCCAGAGACCCGTGGTTCGATTCCCGGCGAGGACGTTGCTCATTTTTCATCTCTCCTGCTTCCAATTAACCTAATGTTTCTACAGTGGCGCGCGAACTAAAATGGTGGTGGATTATGATTCTCCACACACAGGATTTGGCTATTGGGTCCTTTAAAAACCTCAGTCTCCCGTTAAAAGGAAGGAATATATAAGGAATATATAAAGGAATATATAAGGTATTTCTCCCGCCTTCTTAACATGCCTTCGTAGTGTTATGGTCAGAACGCTGGGCGCGTATTCCAGAGCTCCGTGGTTCGATTCCCGGCTAGGATGTTGCTCATTTTTCATCTCTTCTGCTTCCAGTTAACCTAATGTCTCTAGAAAACAAGCAACTAAAGCATTTCTTCACTCCTCTAGCTCTCAAATGATTGATATTCGATCGCAATATTAAATACACTGGCGTTTCTTAAAAAGGAGCAAACGAATTCGCTATACTGCTCGCGTGACTGCCATGCAAAAGGGTACATAATAAAAGTTAATTTTCTAATTAATTATTGTATTATATAAATATTATATTTCAGCGTATCATATTAAAACTTTACAAGTAGCATTGCAACATAGTGTTTTAGGTAGCGCTTTTTTCTTCTTTTTTTTTTTTTTTTTTTCATTTAATGGTGTTTCCTTTTCTATGTGTAACTTACAAGCGCTGCGTAGTTAAAATGTATTGCGTACATAACATACACGTGGCGTGTAAGTTACACTTTGATGTGTAACTTGCACGCTTTATGTTTCCCAACTAGTTTAAATCTACAATATTTCCTTATATACTTTAATATGCATCACTCTTTAACATGTATAATTACTTTTTAATATGCATTTTAATACCATTTTCTTGGCGAATTAAATAACCATCGTAGCGAAACAACACTGCAGCTTTCGCATGCATCGACATATCTATCTGTATTTCTTTCGTATCTGTTTTCTGTGTGTTCACAAATTCCTTTGGTATGTTTATTTATTTTTTCGAAGCCATATCAGCATACTACTGTAATTCAGCAATTGTTTAACAATGAAGATTAAAAACAGCAATAATAAAAATAAACAGGAAAAATAAGTAAAAAAAGCAAGAATAAACACTTAAAAATAAGCAAGACTTCCTGAAATTTGGCATTTCAAAAGATGGCTTTTAACGCTCAGAGCATTTACCCACACAATCAAATACAACCCTAAGGGACATAATCAGGTCCTTGAATCTTATTTAATTTCGTCAGTGGCCGATATGCTAACGCTGCACTGGACGAGTTGCCCCACTGATGATGAACAGAAAAGTATTTTAAAAGCAATAAATTGTTTTCTTACACCCCCTAAAAACACGGAAGGTTAAAAAAAGGGGAGGGAACAAAAAAAGGGAAAATTTTTTTTATTTGAATTGATAATATGAAAGTACTAGGGAAAATGGTGCGTCATATGTATTTTTAATATTCACTGCATCACGTTAATCACGTTCTTCATATGGCATATCGTTTTTACACAGTTTTGCATATTTACTGCTATTTAGATCGGGTGTATGAATGCTTATTTTGTATGTTTCATTTCTTTAAAATTTTATTCACACTATACTTCCCTTTTCTTATCTTTTCTTTTACTTTCTCTTCTCAACTTATTAACGCAGACGCTTACAGCTTAGCAATTTTTAAGCTTATGAAAGTCTGATTTAACTCAGAGGATGAGCCTCATATAAATCCAAAACAGGCCTCAAAATGGGCATAGATATCTTTTGCAGATTACCTCATTCATATCCGCAATGTCCTAAAATAGCATGAGCTTTATATACTTACGTACATCAATGTACACAAATGTATAAAGTTTCATATATTTTGAGGAATCAAAATCTGGAATACGCCCAAAACTTTCGATTGCTAAAATACCCGATATGATGGTATTTTGTCTGAGATAATATTGTGCCGCGAACAAGAGAAAATATATTAAAAGTAGAGCAGTGTGGAAGATAGTTGTTTCGAAATCTAATTCTTCCATATTATCAGAAAAACAGCAATTGGATTATCGAGGAATGTCAACGAACCTCAGAGTTTCAGACGCTGTTAATTTAGATATCCACATCACATAATGTTCAAAGGATAGCTTTTTTATGCAATACAAAGTGGTGCATTCACGGTTATTTTGATATGTGTCTGATAACGTACTTTGTTGTTTATTAAGCTTTAACTCTTTAAAGAATTGTTTCGTGCCAAGATTTTTTGGCGTAACTTATGTGATTATGAGATTTATATTTGATGTGCCATTTATTTTACGAATTAGTGAGTAATAGCTTTTCAGGTGAGTAAAAATAGTAAAATATACCTTCACTTTCAGTGAAACAGGAGGGAAATTCCCCGAAGCTGGTATATTCAGCATATTCCTTTACCTCAGTTCTACTATAGGTAAGTGACATTTCGATTTACTCCTGAATTGGAACAATTTTTAAAATACAGCTCCTTATATGCATTTCATACCTCCTTTCATAATTAACATGCATACTTTTTATTGATATTATTTTATATGCAACATGAGTCCAATTTCTTTGGCTTTACGCATATACATTTCTAGTTTAAACAAAAGCTTTAATGTATTAAAATCATCTCAACAGTGAATGGCATTCATACATATGTAATCATCTTTCTTAAATACTCGAAATTAAGTTTCTCACTGTAAACTTTGATATCTAGTAGTGAGAGTTCTGGAGCTGTATGCAAAATGCAATTTTAATGGGACTTCATTTTCAAATTTTCTGTTTATTATTCAAAATTTATAGAATTTAATGCTTTGTATTTAATATTTTCTTCCACAGTTTTGTCCAAAGTTATCTTCAGATTCATAAAAATAACAATATTCCTCCTAAATAGTTAATCAGTTTGAGTTATTTCTTTATAGTAAGAATAAATGGCAAATCTAAATATCAGTTTATAGACCTGAAATTGTACTTAGTAGAAGGTACGCAATTACTTCTTAAGATCCGTTTGTGCCTATAATTAGCAGTCGTATAGAGCTTTCAGCCGCCACTACATGATTTGTATTACTGCAAACTGTATACAGATGGCTTTCATGCCCAAAATCCACTGATTTGATTACACTGACCTTAAATTAAAAACGACTTTTTCTGAATTGATGCGAAAGATATCAGATCCCCTACTGTGGATCTGTGCGGCGCATCAAGCGAAGATTATCTGTTCAAAGGATGAATATCTTCAAGGAGGAATTTCTAAAAGAAATAGTTTTGTGCTCTGGTTGAACTACTAGTGTTCAACTGTCTTATCTACTGGCTACTGGTGCGCTCACTTACTGAAAGGTATAAAAAAGTGCCTGCATATTTATCTAGAGCTGTCAGTAAAAAATACTGTTTTTTAAAGAAAATAAGCAGAAGTTAATCAAAATACCAATAATATCTAATTAAAATTGAACTGTGTTAATATACGTTCGCCCATTAGTCTGTAAAAACGTTTAAAAATTCAAAGAAATAGGCAAACGGGTATAAAGTAGTGCTGCTTCCAGAAAATTAATAACAAAGGGGGGGGAGGGAATTTTTTTAACACGGAATAAATATTTAATTCCCATTTTCAACGATTGTGTGTGTGTGATTATGGCAAATCCTCGAAGGCTATCTGCCTAAGGGGAGGGATGCCTTCGTGGAGGACTTTCTAAGGGAAACTGGTTCATATACACGTTACACATGTGGAAAACCTCGAAGACGCCCATGCAGCCAGCCCGTTCGCGGGATTCGAACCTTGGACCGAACTACCACTGTTCAGCGACTTTACCGCTCGGCCGCTGGTGGGCCCTTCTTGTCAACGATTGATGATGCTGTAATATACTAAAAAGCAAAGCAGCACTGCATATGGTATGCAGTCTTCTTTTGTTGATGAATAATATGTAACAGATTTCTAGCAGGTAATTTAAGCGTTTTGAACAGAATTTCGGTTATAGTTATCACTGTCAGTGAGTTGCAGTGAGAGTGGTACAGTAATAAAAATCTCAGCTAAATATTTACTCACTGCCAAACCCACCCCCAAATCCTTCTTATGGTTTGTTTTTATATAAACCTCACACCGCTTTATGCATTCGTTCGATTTTTCGCAGTTTTTTATAACTCTTTAACCCCTTTCAGGCCACGTAAAAATTAAACTGCCTCTGTGGTTGTCTGTTATCTAAACGTTAACGAAATGATTATCTGATCCAAGCATTTCAGAGCCTTATTCGGAAGATTTATCAAGCTGTGAAGTAAGCATCTGGTCCTACTAATCAAAGTTTAATTTAGTATAATATATATATTCTTGTAAAACAAATCTTACAAACTTATCTTACAAACAAATCTTACAAAAAAAAACTTATATATCCTTCTAAAACAAATAAAAACCTTTTTTGATATTTACATTTGCCTTAGTCGAATATAATGTTAAATGTTGGGTTCCTGGGCATAGGCTTACCAGAAAACAACAAATTATGAACAAGTTTCGAGCGATGATGATGATTTTTGAGCATACATGAAGATAATAGCAATTAGTGAATTAGTCTATGGTAGATAAATAAGTGTTAGAAAAAGCAATTAGATGACTGAAGTGCGAGATTTAAGATAAGCGATTGGTTAGAGGAGGGGTGGGGGTATTAAACTCTTTTCAGGAAACCATGCACAGTTTTAGATACTCTACAAATAATGAAAGGAAAATAATTTGTTATTTTCTATTATGCTGTAGAGAGTACTTAGCCGATATTAAGGGTAAATATTACATAGAATTAATTATGAATATTGAAATTAATTTACGTTGTTTTCTTCAAGGATAAGAAATAACTTGAATACGCTATCGAAGTCTTGCCCTGACCTGAGTTCGTGTATGTTAGTTTTTAAAATGTTTCATATTTTAGGAAGTTTACATGACCAAAAAAGCTTTCGATAAGATTTCTAGGATTTGCTTTAGTTTTTTTTTTTTCCTATGACAAAACAAGCTACGGTTACCTGCCTAAGGTAGGGAATGCTTCCGTGAAGTTCTTTTTGAGGAAAAATGGCTCGTTATTCATGTTACACATGAGGAAAATCATGAAAGCGCCCACGCATTCAGCTATGAAATCGATCCCAGATCGGTCGAACTACAAGTATTCAATGACATTACTACTCGGCTATTAGTGGGCGTATTTTTAGGAGGAATGACTTTCTAGAATTAAAACTGAGGCAACGGTGGGCACCTATTAGGTGGCTCCACAATAAAATTAGGTGGTCACCACTTCTGGCCTTAGGAGCGGCTAGTGCTGAATAGGCAAGAGTCTACCATTGGATTAAAAAAAGGGATAGAGAATCTGGCTAAGGGTTTTAAAATTTTTGTTTAGTGATATTCCGGGAACTAATGTTATATGATATTGCAAGTAGTTTATGAAATTTTGCTTAATAAGTGATATTTTCGTAAAATTTAGTGTTGCTGGGATTTAGGAATTTTTGCAGGTCATTTGGTCTTCTTTTTTTTTAAAAAAATTATTAAGGATCTTTTGGAGGCATATATTTTTTGTAAATTTTTGACATCCACGATTGGAATTTGCTTGTGGTCTTATGCAGTTTGCCCATTTGGGTTTATTGATTTTTCCTGAGTTGGGGCATAATACAGATTTGCGTCTCAGACAAACTTGATGCACTTGCGTGCGAGGAAGCAATTTTCGTACGAATGATTGAACTTCTGGCGGTCGTGACACTGCGGGACAACATTTCTGTTGATATATATTTTTTGGTAACCATGAAACATAAAAGGCGTGTGACCTGATAAATGGATTCAGATTTTCATTGTGCTAGAGATCAATTTGAAATGAGGTATAACTTCCTTAGTTTTACTGCGTGTAAGCTGAACAACTTTATGTATTGTGTATCCTAGTTCTGTAAGAGTTGCTGAAATTTCATCTTTAGGGGCATTAATGGGTAGACTGCTCGTTAAAACATTAATGGGTCTTTTATGTTTGTGTGTGATGGCATAGTGTTCGATTTTCTGGTTTTGGAATATTCTAAACAGTAACAGTTCATTAATAGAAGATGGTAGCATTTTTATGTACTTTCCACTTACGCTTGTAAAAAATTTATACATGAAAATTTTTGAGAAAATTTTGAAAAATCCATAAATGTAGTTCTGGTGGTTTGATCATGATTGGTGGAATTAAAGGAACCTATAAAAGTGAAATTGTTTCCGAGGACAAGATGTTGTTATTGTTTTGTTCATTAACTGCGTTATCATTATCTGGAGCTAGTATCTGGTTGTTGAGTGTGCTAGTGTTGAGCTGGAATTTATCCTTAGTTTTTGTTTCCTATGGAGTAACTTTGGTCCATTGTCATTTTTCCAGCTTACAGATTTCCTCAAATTTGATCTAGGGTTCAAGTTTATTTTCATCATTAAGATGATTTACAAAGTTTTTTCGTTTAAATAATTTGCCAGATGGATACTTACCTCATAGAGTCATTTGCCGAAGCGTCCAATATCAGTACAATATCTAATAGCCTAATGATCGTTTTCGCCGACAAGACGGTTTTTGTAGAAGAGTAGCTTGGTTCCCTTAAGTTCCTTGATCATCTCTTCCAAAAAGACAGTTTCTTTCGCGCATAGGCATATTCATCAGGAGTGGAGATGTGAGTATTTACGTCGACCTGAACGGGGACAACTTCCATGTGTTTAGGGTTAGTGTTATCGATGGCAAACGAATTGTTGGCCCTGCAATGTGCATGTGCACAGTCGAGGCTCATTACAGTCTAGATATACCGAGCATCTTCACCCTCGAAGGCCGTAGGTAGAAAATATCATTAAAATGTAAATATTTACACCTATAACTTATAATGGCAGAAAGTTAGGATTCAGAGTGGCTGAAGGCAGAAAATATCATTTTAAATATAGGTAATTGTATTCCATTAGTGACACTATATTGATCGCTTAAAAATTAATTTACCAAATAATCGATTTTTTTTCATAATTTTTAGCAGATTTAGAGTTGAATAATGGTTAAGACACCAGTCATTATCAGCAATGTAACATCTATTAATTTCTATTTTTCTAATCAAAAATTTGTTTTCTTGAATGCGGAATTAGTTTGGTCAATGTGTGGTAAACTATAATATAAATTCTTCAGAAATTGAAATATATGCTTAAAGAGTTTTATTAATTTAGAATTTTATTAATAAGGGAAAAAACTTTTTGCAGTTTATATTTAAGGTGAAAATAACAGTTTCGCAACAAATAGAAAAAGAAAATGGGACGACTGTGAGAATTTTGGCCTTACTTTTAACGAAAGAATATTCTTTATAAAGGAAAGTTGTAGGGGTCTATTATTTTTATTAATAGTTATTTTAATTAGCTAGCCTTTCCTGTCTTTTCTGATGTTCATCGCGTTTCCTCGCCAGTATGTAAATGAGTTAGGGTGAATGGGAGTGTATTCAAACTGAAGGTAGCGAAAAGGTTAGTCATAGCGTGTTTTCGCTATTGAGTGCGCACACTGCTGAAGCTAGCAGCTGTTTGAATTTTGAATCTAGGCTTCCTATTCTTACCGCCAAAACTAGTATCTCGCCTGTTTAGGTTTCTGAATCAACCTGCTAGATTAAATTAAATTGTGAAGTCTTGCACTACACCTTTAAATTTAGTTTGTTACATTATCTTTAAGGTCCTTATCACAAGTGATTGGCGACAATGTAATCATGTAAGTCCGTGCCGTAAGTAATTGTCCGAAATAAAAGGGTTTTTTATACGTTTTACCTGTTATATTAATCTTTTAGTCACTGTGAAAATTCGCAACACAGACTTTCAAGTAGATATAATTACATTTTATGTTAGCAAAGAATACTAGATCTTACAAAGACGTCTCTCATATATTCATTTTTTGCAAAGTGAGAAGACATAGCTTTCAGAAGAAGACAAACAAAAAACATTTTCTGGTAAACTGGGATGTCTAAATGAAACTACTGTGTATTATAATACTACTATAAAGGAGGGGGAAAATGAGTCAAACGATTCACAGTCAAGACTAAATGGAATGTCGGGATTAACAGAATTTACTGTAAATCAGATATTTATTAATTTACCTTTGCTATAAAAAAAAAAAAAGATATGCTGTCGACATAACAAACACAAAACAGGGAACATAGTTATTCTGGTATTGGTACTATTAGTAGAATCTGATACTAGAGTTTAGGCCTAATAGCTATCTTGCGAAAGGATGCAGAGAAGACTTGAGAGTTAGGTAGCTCACACAATCAGTTTTAAATTTCATTACAACTACTGTGTCTTTTCCCGTTATTATGTTGTACATAAAATTCATTTCATTTAGGTGATGATCTTTCACGACTAGGTAATGTCTCAAATACAGTCGTATTGGACTAGTGTTTAGGAATAAAATTCAACAGAGAAAATCTTTATAAAACGAAAAATCCATGGGGCCAAAAACTTATTTTCTGACGTATAATATTCAGAGAGAAAAGCCTGAATATCCCAGCATGAAACCTCCGTTTCTCAATACAAGTAATTTCTCCGTATTTCTACGAATAAATATGTGAACTAAGTTTTTAATTATTCATTTTAATATTTATCCTACTTTGTTAGAGTTCGTTCTATTGTTATTCTGTCATTTAATACTTATCTTACTTATTTTTCCTTTTATTGCTATCCTATCATTTGATATTTATCTTAAATCGTTGAGTTCATATAGTTCATATTTAAAGTACTGGAAGTGGAACTTAGATTCGTTTTCCACGCAGCATTGCTTCAGTCAATAATAATTTAAAAAAGCAGCTATATTTTGTATGTTTACATATATTCTATAATATTTATGCAGTTAAACAAATTATAAGCTTTTACCATATAAGATTCATACACTGTCCATCTACAGTGTTTTCGGACTGAAATTTTTCATTTATACATAGCGAAATTTGAAAACGGTAATTTATAGCAATGATTACTAATTATTGCCATTAAAATATCGTGATTCGACGGAAAGAAATTTGAATACAGTTATTTGTTTGATCCAATGCCGCTGACGTAGCATATTGCAAGTATTGGCAGGTGACTTATTGCAAAGAAAGGTGTTACGCAAGAGAATAAAAAGTAGTCTGTACGTCAGTTCTTCTTCAGATTACTTTTATTCCCTGACATGAAATTTCGCGTTAATGGGCACCATTTTAAAAGCATTTCAGAAATTCAAAAACTATAAATCCGAGACCAAAGAGGATTCCAAAAATTGACTTCTGTGAAACAATCCAGAAACTGTATGAAAGCGCTAAGAGAAAAATAGCGTCAAAAGGAATACAAGTAGAAGTCTAAGCAGTATGTAAGTAGTTTTTTTAATGCAGGACGTCACTTGAATTCTAAAAGAGAAATTAGTTTTTAAGTACCAAATGTTTATGAATTTCATAGGAACAGTTTACAATACCTTATTTTAATCTTCTCAATTTTTATTTTTTTTACTAATTAATGAAACACAAAATTTTCCTTCGTGAAAACACAAATAATTTCCCTTTCAGTCCTTTTTTTTCATATCTCGTACAAATTTCTCATGTACGACACTGACTCTTTCTGCTTAGTTTAAAGGCGTTTTCCTCTGAGATTACGAAAGAAACTTTCGTAAGTTTCTGTTGCGAGGACAGAAAAGGACTTGTGTAATTTGCAGCCATTAACAGTTTTATAATAGTAACAGTATACCCTTGTGTTTATATTCCAGTTTTGAAAAACTCCGTTCTGAATCGGAGTTTATTTTAAAATTTAAATTTGAAAGATGTACTTTATTTACGTATTAAAAAAAGAAAATCGTAATTTCTGAACAAATAAGTTTTTGCTTATTAGGTGTGGTCATTTTACTTTTACTTTCCACTTTTCAGGTTTATCAACAATGTTTGTTAGGTTTTTAATAGTCGATGAACTAAACAGGGGCTCTGAAAAAGCAATCGACGCTCTAAACAAAGCTTCCATCATCATTGGATTCATCGCTTTGATGGGAATGGTCATTGTGGCTGCCTATCCTGTAAGTCTTTTCGTTTGCATACAGTAGTACTAACTCTCAATTTGAGCACATTAATAAATTTAATATCTGTTTTGCAAATCGAAAGTATTATTTTATGGGGCCTTTATCTGTGGCCGAACTCATTACTTCTGATGACGATATTGATAATTCATCACGTTTTTTTAGCAACAGATTGAAAATCACATCATTTCATTCAATAATATAATTTGTTGTTTTAATACGTTTCAGGACTAAAAAGTAGAGAGGGTGTTTACGCATTTTTGGAAAGATTCAGGACAATTTAATTAATTAAAATGATTAAAATGCAAAGAGTATTTTTTAAAATGTTTCGATCTGATAGCCTTTTTTCTAGAAGTCTGCATTGTGATGTTCATTATGCAAGGGCTTTTCGCACAATTTTCAGGGCTATTGATTTCAATACTTCTTCCACCATTTTCTAGCATCCATTAATCGTGGTGGGTTTGCGCTCAGAAAAAGCTCTTTTCAAGAGACCTATAGTCCACAGGTTGAAGCGTCAGAACTTCGCAAGAATACATTGAAAATGTATATATGCAATACCTGTATCATATCAGTCTTTCCTTTCTTAAGGAATGTAGTGGCACGTTTCGAAGTATGACTTGTTTGCTTTGTCTTGATGAAGTTTCACTCTTAGAAAGTCATTGGGATAAAGAAATGAAATTTCCTCTGCAAATATCGAACGGAAATCTTTTTCTTGATTATACGTTGAGTTGATTTAAATATTTATTACCGCTCTTCTTACTTTTAATTTTCTACTATAAAAGAATCCTGCAATAGTTATAACTCCTTACTGAAACTTCCTTAACATTGACGGGACCAGATGTGTACAGTTATTTTTCTCTTCGTGTTTGATGATAAAAAGACCTTTTTTTTTTTTTTTGTTGCAGGCATTTAAGTAAACCCATGCTTCACCAAGGGTCAATTTATACATGCCTCCGCGAAAGTTCGTGAACATTAAGTTTTTTAATTTTTTACTTCCTTGTATGAAGTAAAGGAAACATTGCAATTGCAATTGCAACTGCGAAAAATTTCGGTTTTCAGATTTCAATGGAAATATCCATTTTGACTTTTCCCGAATCCATTTTGACTATTTTGAGTGACGACTGTACGCACAGACAGAATATAGGATTCATGGTTTCCAAAACGAATTGTAAAATGCATTCAGAATGGACTTTTTCGTGACGTCTATACGCAGCCCGAGAACACTGAAATTTTGTGTATGGGATTGCTAAAACATCTAATTATGCATTAATCTTTTTTATTGCAAACCGGCAGTAACAAAAGTATATATATATACTTCTGTTACTGACGTTCGTCTATAAAATTCAGAGCACTGAATTGTATTCAGCATTTCAGAGAAAGTGGTAATAGCAGGATCTCTATTTTCGCTTTTTTCAAAATAAGTTTGCTTCCTAACGTCCGACAACAATATTCGTTAAATTTTTTGTAAAGGTATGCTCTTCACATGCTTCCACTCAATAGCAGTAGCAAACACTGCATTTATATGAGATGAATCCTTCACAATTCGGTCATAATTTAATAAATTTTGCTCAAAGAATTCCTGTATTTGCACTTATAGCTCAACCTTCAAACCTTAAGATAAATCTAGAGAATCGAAAAACTGTTTGATACGAATTCAGGGACCATTTAGACATACAGTGAGGAGTACTTAGTTCCCCATGGAATGCTAAGAAGTTAAGTCCTTAGGAAACTTATACTTTCTAAAATTATGTTTAATACGGTTACACGATAAGCTAAGGATGACTAACAGAAATGGCTCTGGAGAAACAAATCTGGAAGAACAGTGTATTCCTGAATAGTGCTTCTAATTGACTTTTCGGGCAGTACTCAAGTCGCGGATGTCTGAGTCGGATTATCGCAAACTACCGGATGCCGGATTATCGGACATGTACTTAGATTCAGACAGCATTCAGTGCATTCAGACAACAAAGTCCTAGATTTTTAGATATTTATATTGCTAAAAAATGTAAAATAACTAAGTATTTAGCTCTCTTACTTCAGGTTACAACAGCTTCCACAGGTTTGATACAGGATACTTTAATAAAAAGCGAAAGATCTTTTTCACTTTAAAGGGAGCTATTCCAATGTAATTTTATGAGTACAAAATGAAAACTTAATCATAGACCTCTCGGAAGGATTTGTTCATGATTCATTATCTCAAGATGTCAGATATCATGCCCAGGAAGAGCTATCGAAACTGCTCTGATCTCCCTTGATGGTATATGCTCCCCTTATTCCCTCTGAGGTTCTTACAGTTCTTACCTCATATGTTAATCTCTTCGCTCTCGATCAAGATAATGTTTCCAACTTTAATTAGACAATTTTACTTTTTACGAGCTTCCGTGTAGTTCATTACTGTGACATGCAGCTTAGTTATTCTTCAAGCCAGTTTGGGAAATACTACTATTTGTTTTTACTTAAAAGCCAACGATAAAGCTCTGTGCTTGATGCGACAGGAGCTTCAATTTGATAATCGTCCGAAATCAAAGGCGTAGCAATTTTGTTTCTAAACATGAGTAATTATTCAAGGTGTTACATAACTTAGCATAATAAAAGCAGTCCCACTCTTATTTTTTCTTCCTAACACTTTCTTCCATTGTAGTTTTGTAAATTCAACTCCGGTCGAATCACCCTGTGTGATTGCGTTTTAACGAAGATGAATATTTCACCACAAGCAGTTTCGAATTAAATCTATGGAGAGCTTCATCGAGTAGTATTCTGTCGAATAAAATGTTTTACAAACTATTTGACAGCGGTTTTAATTGCTGTCGGATTAGCTTAACTGCTAAAATACTGTGTGTAGTTTAAATATGAAGAGTCACAAGAAATGTTTTCATTAACAGGGAAAACTGGAAAGCTAGTTAAGCTGCAACAAATGCACAATATTTAGCATTTTCATAACATCTGAATATTCAAATATAATATTTTTGTTTACTTATAATATTTTATATATAATTATAAATATTAACTGGCAGTAACAAAAGTATATATATTATTTTGGTTTACTTATAATATTTGTTTACTTATATAATATTAATATAATATTTTTGTTTAATAAATGCATACATAGAACCATTATGCAGAAAGCTGCATAATGGTTCTATGTATGCATTTTATTTATTTTGTTATAGATGAAACTAGCATAGGAGCTGTGCATGGTGTAGGTGCAAACGTTTTGTTCATCGGAGGCGTTATCTATGCCGCATTACAGACATCGCTGAGCTTCAAAATGTCTCCTTATTACAATGGAAGAACTATTTGCTATATTAGATTAGTTATAACAATTCTGAGTGCCTTATCTCTCATTACAAGTATCCTTTTCTGAAAAAATTGTTTTTTCTATAAAAAATAATTTTTTAATTATCTTTATATATCTATTATTTATTTGTAAAACTATTTATGTGTTACAGGAGCTTAAGACTACAAAACCCAGTTAATTTATACCCAACTTTTTCAGTGTGAAGGAATTTTAATTTTTTATCATTTTTAACAACAATAAATGGAACTATAATTAAAGTCCTGCAGACCCTAATAGACAGATAACGAGTTATTCCTAGGCCTTAAATACTCGCAAAGTACCGAAGAAAGCTTGAAATATACTTTTTATTTTAATTTTAAATTGAATATTAAAGCACAACTTGTGATACAGACGAAACCACCACTTGTAGTTATTTAACTCAACTATGACAGACAATTAAATTTAAAAGTTGATAACCTATAGCAAGACTGCACATGCAACAGAATAAGCTGGCTTATTGGCTAGCGAGAATATTGAAACCGGAATATTACTTTTAATCAGAGCTGGCATGGAATACCAACAGCAAGACGCGATTTTGCATTCTGGTGAGGAACACGGAAAGGAGAAATTATAGTAAAGGCCAAAATGATAACAACTGATTAATTAACATATTATCTACAAACTAATTGGACCAGAGCTTAGTTTAAATGGGTTAACGTAAGAATATGATAACTGTTTTAAGAGCTCGAGTGGTTAACAGATTTTAAAGCTCACAAGTGAAGTGAAATATTAACATGGGATTAATATGAAATTCAGTGCAGAGCATAAATACATGAAGCTTCACATGCTTATTGTCAACCTACTTTGCGATAAAAAAACAGTTTCTTCTTTTTATGTTTTATACAGTTTCATTTGTAATACGTCAGTGTCTTTGTTAGACGTCAATCATAAAAATATTGCATGTGTTAGACTAAGGAAAAAATCTTGTAAGTGAGAGTCTTTGTATTTTTCTTACTTAATCTGCATGTTTCTGTTAAGTATAATTATCCCAGTAAGCCTGAGTATTCTCTTCTATAAAATAGACTTCGACAGGTATTTATTGGTAGCAGCACGAGGTTTTAATTTACTGGTTAGCAAGTACCTTAAGCTCTTGCTCAGCTGGGAACAGACTTGAAACAAATGTTTATCTTTTAGATATATTTCAGATATTTCTAATTCATGTTAAAAAACCGGAAAAAACAAAACCTTCAGAAATATTTCTGATCCAAAACATAGTACTTAAGTTAAGCAACGAGAATATATATCCTTCAAAGCTTCTGATATTGTTAATGTCCAAAACGTAATGTAAATATTCAGGGTTATGTTTTTCGATTTTGCCTGTGGTTTCCCCTAACCAGTTTTTATATCGAAGCCACAGCTTTAGTTTCAGCATTTTTTAAAAAAAAAAAAAAAATGTTGTTAGTAGAAACAATTCAAAATGTTTCAATTTTGTACATTCTTACACTTTCCTTTAATCTTTCAGGGTTCTAGATATTACATAAACAAAAATCCATTAACTACTCACTCTTACTTACTTACCCTTATCTTAGGCTTCCTAAGCAAGTTTTCTTCTACCCTCTAAATTCTGTTGAAATTTTAACATTATTATTTCCAATGGCAGATTAGAAACAACTGTAGTCAGAAATACAAACAAAAGAAACGGATAATAAAACTAAAACTACAGTAAGTAATCTTGCGCCCGAGCTCTCCAGTATTTCTCCCACAAGTGTCCCGAGCCTAGCGCAGAGCAGTGACTCAAATGGTTCGCGGACATTTTTCACTCGAATGTTGCACAATTGGCAAAGATGATTAAGCAGTATTTTTATACGATATAGATATTTGGAGAGGTAATCATAGCCAGTAGCGAGGCGAAAAGTGACGACACGTCTGTTCCTTGGCCATAGAGGGATATTAATGATTTCCTCAATCCATTTCTTGTCTTTATTTGTCTCTTTGATATTTTTCCAATAGTCCTGTCTAAAAGATTTTCTAATTAATCGTTTGGCGGTACAAAAAGGAATTGGTTTATCTGTTATTTGAGCAATTTTGGTTGCCTTCTTTGCCAGGGAGTCAGCTATTTCATTACCCTGGAATCCACAGTGTGCTGGTACCCATTGCAAGGAAACCTTTTTATGGTTTTCGACTAAATCGTTAAGGGTCAGGTGACTATTTAAAATATCAGGTGAAACGGGAGCTTCGAATGAAGCTATGGTCAGAAGGGCAGCCCTAGAATCTGATAGTATAATAACCCTTGAAAAATTTTCAGATTGGCATTCGAGCTGTGACAAGGCGATTTTAACTGCAGAGATCTCCCCGTCAAAGGCTATTTCGAACCTTCCGACAGGAGTGTAAGATAAAAAGAGCCTGCAAAAGACGCCAGCATTAATACGTTTCAACATGGAGCATGGAGCCGTCTTCATTCAACATGGAGCCGTCTGTAAACACATCCAGACGCTCATTATCTGGGTATAATTCATGGATAGTCTGCAAGGTTACATCATTTGGAATTAAGTTATTTGTATCTTTCTTAAAAACCTCACTTGATAGGTTTGTAACCATGCACTTCCCTCCTTCAACTGGACATTGTGACTTGATGAGATTTTCCATCTCCCAGTTCAATCCTAGTTGTTCTTTCATACCAAAAACTCTCTGAAGAAACCCATACTGGGTTTTAAGGCTCCATGAAGATGATTACAAATGGCTGTTCCATTGGGGAAAACAATCTGGTAGGCTTGCGATCTTTTCCCATAAAATTAGTGCTTGTCTTCGATTACTGATTTAATACTCACATGTTGAGTAGATATTAAAAGCGCATCAATCGGAGTTGTCTTAACAGCTTCCGTGATGAGACGAAGGGCTTGGAAATGGAATTTTTCTAAGGTATCAGTAACTTGCTTAGCTGCCACCACCAAAGGTTCGGAACGGCAAGTAATAAGTGGCAAAATATAGCAATTATAGGTCAGGTCAAGGATTGTTCTGCAGCATCCTCATTTGGAGCCAACAATTCTTTTCAATAAAGTAAGTCTGTTAGTAAGTCTTTCCAAAATAATTGTAACGTACTCCTTCCATGTCAGTTTACGGTCAAAAAGGACACTCAAATAAGAGAAGTGCTTGGTCTAAAGAACAGGGAGGATTTGGTGAAATAAATCCAGTTTGGTCGGTTGGTGTGTGAGGGAAAATGTTTGATATACAGTTTTCTTTTTTTACATTTGCTTCCATATTATTAACATGAAACCAATCGCTTAACCTATTTAGAGCCTGATTTAAAGAAGTTTCAGATTGTAATATAGCTTTTTTTTTTGGGGGGGGGATTTTCAGTCCAGATAATCAAATCGTTTGCATAAAGTAGGAAATACTTAAAAATCTAATTTAAAGATATCATAAAAATGTAATTTCTAAATAAAAGTAAATGATAATAAATTGACAAAAATACAATTCTGAAAGATCTTGAGTTTTGTTTTTAAAATAGTACAAAAATGCACAGTAAAAAGCTTTTTCAATGTTTTGGACGGAAACGGTTCGGAGATGTATTTCATACTTCGCCGATTTGTCATTTGGCTTATGTAGAATGCTGGCCTCCATACATTGCCAGTAATATATATATACAAAAGAACAAGCATTTAAAGTAGGAATCAGAATAAATGAACATGGGAACAAAAGTAAAAAGTTAAAAATTTAAACAGCAAGGAAAGGAACATAAGGGATGTAGTCTTTAGAAGGAGTTCATGAAAGCTAAGGCCATTCCACTATAGTTTACTTATATCACCACGTTTCTGAGACTCTTTATTTAGTTCTGGGCATATAAGAAGATGATCAGCATTCATAATGTCCGAACTGCAAATTTGGCATACAGTAGATGGAAGACTGCCAATTTTATAAAGATGATGTACCATACAATCTTGGCCTGTTTACAGTCTGAAGTTTGCCACTGCCTCTTTACTGGGTTTTGAAAACTTTTTCCATGTGTCTTGAATGTTAGCCCAGGATTTGCCTGTTGATTTTGTTACCTGGTCAGATTTAAGGGTATCCATTAATTTACCAAAAATATGCTTTTTAAGCAACTCTGGAGGAAGTGGTTTGTTGTCTTGTGTCTCATGTGTTCCCCTCTTGGCCAGTGAATCTGCCTTTTCGTTACCGTCGATATCTACATGTGAAGGGATCCATTGAAAAACGATTGTTTTGTTCTGTTTATAAAGAAAATTCAGTTTGTTTTATTTCTGAGATAATCTGGGTATTTGTGTCATGATTTATAACTACAGCATGGATAGCTGCTTTGGTATCGACTAGAATAACTGTTTTAGAGAAATAATCGATATTTATCTTGAGGTTTTCCAGAGCCAGTGTGAGATTGCAAGGATATATATATATATACACATACTGTTTAAATATTAATATCGATTATCCTGTAGGAAATGAAGAGAGAAACTATTGTAATAGGAAATTTATTAAAATTTAATTCCTTAGAAATGTTATTATTTATTTATTATTAAGTATTTATATATTTACTCTCTCTCTCTCTCTCTCTCTCTCTCTATATATATATATATATATATAAACTTAATCTAGATTAATTAGTAAATTGTAATAAAAGCAAGGCAATTCCTCTACAATATAAAAATTGTAACCGTGTATGAGAGGTTTAACACAATATTATATATATATATAACATAACCATTGCTGTTTGCAGGAGACAAAATGAAGTACTTGCGCTATTCCATGCAAACTAACTTAAATTTGCCTAAAGCTGAAATAATAGTCTTGTCAAAATCTGCAGTTGAAGGCTAATAAAATGTCATTTCCAACTTACCACTTCTACTTCTAAGAACCCGAAGGATGGCCGAAATCGCGAACTAAGTAAGAATGAAACAATGCTCAGGATCCCTTAACTGTCTATATCAAACAACACAAAATGTGTAACAAATATCGTATTACTAAAGTTTAAATCCTCTGAAGCAACTGAAGTCGGACAGTAGAAATGAGAAAGCAGGTATAACTAAATGAAACTAGTTGATAATCAATAAAATTATATGATATTTCACGATATCAGCTGTTATTGAAAGTGAAACTTAATGTATAATTTTTCATTTCTTTTATCAATAACTTTCAAAAAGATTTATTGGATTTTAAGTAAAGATACGAAAGCACTTTTTAGGTAGGGAAATCAGGCTGTATGTTCATTACCTAATCTAACAGAAAGCTGCGGCATAGTTGCAGAGAGTGGAAATAATGCACAGTTTCATGCATAATAAGGAGTTTTGGAAGCAGAAATATTTACTATGTAGTTTGTTATCCCTGTTCTTAAAATGATCAGACTCACTTCAAGAATTTTTCACAGAATTTTTAAAAGAATATACATATTTTTTTAATTTAGAAAGTTTATGAAACTATTTATGAAATAAAAGAATATTTCGGGAATTACATTTTTCTTTCATCGATAAACTAGTGACAATATTATTGCCATTTGGATTTCAAAACTGGAGCTCTGGCAGCCATGATCATTGGACGGGATCAAAAATGCCTTATGACAAGGTAAAGCAATTATTCTTTCATAGAATATTTTTTCACATTTACAGAAGTCCAGCTGTGATCGAATGGCTGAAGCCGAGGATCACTAGGACTTCGGCTAGCATTCGTTCCCCGCGGATGAAAGGGCTTGCTCCATGGGCTTTCTTGTTTGTGTAAAGCAAATGTGAGTCAGTTCCTTTCATAAAGTGCATGGGAAAGCAGGTGATTGCCTGCTTCATCTTTTCGCATTTTATTTCCTGGCTCAAAACCGCACTGATTCATCACTCATCATCTCCCTTCACACTCATCACTAAATCCTATTGATGAAATGCCTCCCATTTCATCATCTCCTCAAATCGTCACTTGTTGAAAAAACCTCATTATTCTAAGCTGTCTTCTAATGTCCTTATTCTGAATTTACCTCTCGTTACCTGAATACGTTTCTGTTTAGAATATTACTGTAAATTTATCCACAGTCATTAAGCGCTAATATTTGAAGGAAGGTCGTGTACATTAAAGTGAAATTTGAATAACTGCAACAAACGCTGGATTTTCCGAAAAGCTTACTGTTTTACTGAATAAGTTTTAACAGTGATGTATTGCTAGAATGAAATCATGCACGAATTTCTAAATACTCACCAACTGCCGAGCATTAAAGACACTGAACACTGGTAGTTCGACCCGAGTTCAAATTCCAGGAATTTTTTCCTTTTCTTGCCGAGTGCCCTCGTAGTGCATTTGGAAGCACGTCCAACTAGCACTCGGGATGTCTGCAGTTCCAGGGAGAGTGTCTCTAATTCTTTATATTTCCTGCTCCGAGAAAACATAATTACTCTGCAAGTGGTCCCCAAACAAAAAATGTGTTGGGTGATAAGACATCACCACCGAACCATGGTGACTAGTTCCCCTTCTCACTATTCGTTCTTTAAGCGGGCGAGAATGTAAGAAGTTTTTCACCTTTCTTAACACATGTTACTGTAGTATAATTGAAAGTTCTTGCTAACAGACGGATGGTCCGAAGTTCGAATTCCGGCTAAAGCATTGAAAATTTATCATGCTCCCAGTTCAGAGAAATATACGCAAAGCTGTAACTTTAACTGTAAAGAAACTGTATGTATGTAACTGTTACCGTATCTGTATGGCAGTGAGCAAGGTAGCTCTGCTCGTATTCGCGTGCAGACACACGCATTCTTATACATTGTTTTTGCTTCTTAAATGTAAAAGTTGTTATGTTGTGATGATGACTACTTATTATTTTATTAAATGAATTAATTCTCTTCCAGCATAATGAACATGTGTTATGGCCTAGTACACTACAATGGTGAACCCGATAAAACATAGACTCTTCAACTATTAAAAAATAGCAGCTGTTTAGCAATTGATTATTTATATTACAAGATAAATCAAGTAAAAATTATCCTAAACTGCTTTTAAACTAGTGATTTAAGCCCATTGTAGATTCAATCTGGAAAATTTTATTTACAAACTCTCTCCTTTCAAAGTCTTTGCATGATCAGAAGTTTCACATATTTTTTACCAAAAGGAGTTCAATAAATTAATTCCCTTTTCTTCAAAACCATTAATTTCTAAAAATAACGCAGGATTTTACGAATTGGTAATTTATGATTCAAATATCGAACAGTCTTCAGAAAATTTCATTTACGAACCCTTAGTTTTCCTTAATAAGCTGTTAGTTTTGGCGATAGGACCATATGCTATAACAGCATGGAACTCAGGGCCTCATTTACACTGGACTGGTAGCAAGACACCCCAGGATAAGGTAAAACGTAGCCTTATTAAGAATCATACATTTTTAGGCAAAACATCTGTGTATTCTGTAGGGTATAAATTCTAATATATTAGATTGATTCAGAAGAAAGCGGACAGATAGATGAAACGTTTAGTTCAATTATTGAAATTGAGTCTCGATCCCTTTCAAAGTAGATACATACAGTAAGTGAACAAGAGTTGGTATCGATGCCTTAATTCACCGATGCCAACTCTTGTACATTTACCGGAATGTCCTTAGGAAATCTGCGTAAAAATGTGTATTTAACGCTCTTGTGAAGTCAACATCTGAGGTCGACTTTTGCAGTTCATTCTGAATGAAGAAGAAATTCATGTCTCAGGTTACAATAGTTAACGTAACTTTGGTTCTGAGACGACCTTTGAAATGAAGGAGCGGAATGACCCTGAAATGAAGAAACGGAATGACCCAAACGAGACTGCGTACATTGAAATTGAGAAGTCTGAAACCTTAGCTAACCATTATATTTCTCGTTTTTGCATAAACAACATCATAAACTCACAAACAGCATACCCATTGCTTCCCATACTTTTACACAACAACTTTTCAAAAACAACTGCAAACAACATAACCCTTATGAGGTTCTGATTTATATCGAAAAGAGAAAAACAGTGAAAAACCCTTGATATAAGCAACACGAGCAATAAAATTAACAAGAGTATGAGGATAGTTACGGTTTTATAGAGATATTGATCTCATAAATCGTGTGCTTAAACTAAATCATTTCTTATGCCTGTGGGACGCAACAGTAGTCGCATTGAGTTACAAGACGGGTAAATCTCCTGATGATTATACTTTCTTCCGACTTGTGAGTTTGCTGGTTGAATTAAAAAAAAAATTCCAAAAGCAGTTGCACTTCACAGAATACACAGATATGCAGATGCAAATACTAATCGTCTTACCACAGACCAATAACGCTTTAGACACAAGCACTCAAATGCTCACCAAATGCTCAGACTGAAAGATTACATCTCTCAAAGGCATCAAAGCAAGAAATCATCTGTCGAATTCTTTCTCGATATATCTAAAGCCTTTGTTCGTCTTTGATTAGGGAGACTCACAGACAAATTATTCTCTGACTTTATTATACACACTATTAATTATCTATTCGATGAATACTTTGTCATTCGCTACAAAATCATATTTTTCACTTGCCGCCAAATTTATGTGGGCTTTCAACTGGAGTTTTATTTTTGATTTATGCGGATGAAAAGACAATTCAAATCATCGTATTCTCTCTGAAGTGAATGCCAAACTGAGAAATGGACAGGAAATTCAGCTAAAAGATTTCCTTGAATATTCCAAACATAATAAAAATTTTGGGATTAATGCACAGACAGTGAAAGAAACTGTTGTGAGGAAGATGGAGACAGATTAATTTAAGCAAGTTTTAAACTTTGGCTAATAGAAAAGGGTTTGTTATGCCCAATGAATTTTCCTAAAAGAAAGCATATAAATTGTGATTTTGGGCATTTCCATCTGGTTTTAGAAACTTTGCCGACCATTCCATGACCGAAACACCTTCAACTTCCAAGTTTCATGTACTCTGCAACTTAAAGAGACAGCGGTTTATTTATTAATTTTCAATTCTGTATGTACACCCAGAAAGAAGATGAACTCAATTTTAGACCAGATGGCAAATATTGCAAGAGTAAAGAGGGTAGGTAATTCGCAGACCACATAAATATGTTACAGACTTCAAAATCAGAACTAGAAAATATCTGTCAAGTAAAATAACGTGTAGGCATAAATTATTTTTTGAATAAAGAGCATAATAAAAAGGGAAAACTCATTATATACAGATATATCAAAGTTAGAAATTTTGCAAGTCAAACATTAAAATAAGGTGAAATTTAAAAAATATATAAGTTTCACATGCATACAGGGAAAATTTTGTTTTAAACACAATGCTTATCATTGCTGAAATCCTGCTGTAGGTTAAAGATTTCAAACAGTCCTTTTTACTTTTATTACGAAAAATGATCTATGCTCCGAGCTCTCCACTTTGTCGGTACTGTCTTTCTCAGATATAAATTATACCCCCTTTCCTCTAGCAATCCGAAGCCGAGACATTTCAGTCTGCTTGAACAGTTTATAGTATATAGGTACTTAAAAAGGGGGTGTTTTGATATTCTGTCCGCAGGTCTGAGTTAAGCTGTTATATGTAAGCATTATTAGCAGTTATCCTTGGTGATTTACCTTTACTTTCTGAAATTAGTGAACTTTGTTCTTCATGCTTAAAATGAGCAGGCTTTTCTTACATTAATAAAGAGTTGCTGATTTTATAACTTGTGCAGATGAATTTTTTATCTGCGCTAGAGGATTCGGTTTTCAACGCTTTAATAGCTTTCTGGGCATTCATTTAATGTATGTAACAGTTTATTTTCATTTAAAAGCAACTTTCCTTTTATTTTCGTTTTCAACCTACGCTTTCTTGCCAGAATGGTAAGAAGCTAGCGCGCGTGTATTCAAGTGAGGTAGAAGGAAGTAATATTTAAGTGAAGGTTCTGGAAGGTGATTTCAGAGCGTTTATGCCTGAAGACCACGTTGCTATCTTGATTTACTAGCGATTGGATTCTGTGGCGATGAGGGCTTCTAGCCATTAACCTTGTTTACGCCGACTAGTTAAATTATCCTGTAAGCCGTTAAGGAGACTCATACACCTTAAAACCCATAAGATCTTCGAATATGTGACTGTTGCAAGAATTGGGATAACTTATTTATTTTTAAAAGCAATTACTTCCAACATTTTACAGCTCAGTACATAATATAGCTGCTTTCTGAAATAGTAATCAGAAAGTTTGTGTTGCCGCAAATATTTTTATAATTTATTCCGCTTTGTGACAAAAGTTTTCGTCATGTTTACACTTTACGCGAACAGTTTAAAACTCTCTGTTGCATAATTTAATTCCATATTTAATATATTGCTTTTATAACATTTGGAAACTACTGGAACCAAAAATTCTAAGAATTTCATGTAAAATTTTTATTTTATTTGGAGTTGCGTTTAAAAAATGTATTTTATTAAAAAATTCTGTAATGTTTTTCTGCATAAAAATTTTTAATATTTAAATATTCATCAGATTTTTTGGTTCAGTTAGAAAAGAATGCCCATATAAAGAATTCCATCAAATTTCAAGTATGTACAATTAACCATTTTTAAAATATCATGCGCGCAAGCTGGAAACATAACGAAAAATTGCTTTGTCACAAAGCGGATTAAATTACAAAACTATTTGTGGCAACAAAAACTTTCTAGTTACCAAAGCAGCTATATATCTGTAAAAAGTTGGAAATAATTGCTTTTAAAATAAATAAAATATCCCAATTCTTGCAACAGTCACATATTCGAAGATCATAAGGGGTTTAAGGTGTATGAGCCCCCTTAAGTTAAACTTACTTCATTTAATTTTAAGTTCGTTAAGTTTTTGAATTAAACCAAAAGTGTTGGCTTAACTGAAAAAGGCTCGAGGCGGTGCCATCTGTGATTATATTGAGTTAATAACCCTTCTCTGGTGTTTTTTTCACCCTTCTCTGAACTTTGTCATACTTAAAACTTGAAGATAAATCCTCATGCCGTCTTCTAGTGCCTTGTTAGTTTATGCTTTCGAAGAACACGAGACGCTATAGCTTGTATAAATGTATGTATATCAGTGGGAAGAAAAGGAGCCATATGGTGTGTTAGAAATTAATCAGGATGTATCTTGCGCACCAAAGTTGATATGATACTTGCAGAATAAATTCAGGAGTTCTCTAGCTAGTACCCACTGAATCTCATCTTTTCAGATATTTAAATGGAAAAGTTGGTGAGTCCGCACGGGATATCGGCAGAGTTTAAAATAAGCCGAAGCCCGGCTCCAATATCTTTTAGTCTGTGAGTGAAATCATAATTCTAGCCAAAACTCCAATAAGATGGGCTCCGGTATTTGGTTGCATAATTAATTAGCAATATTACCAAAAATTTATCATTTTCATTAACTTAACTTAATTTGCCAATATTTTTATTTACATAATTTATTAGTATTTCTTTACATGTAATTTTAATTTTCCATTATTTGTTGCTTTATTAATTATTATTTTATTTATATGCCTTTGTACTTTTTTCTACACAGCTCAGGCATTTTTAATTTTAGAAAATTAAGCTCTGGATCTCAGATAAAAGTAAAAAAATAAGTAAAACTGGTACATGAAAAACTTCAAGATTTGCACAGTTTAGAAATTTATACTAACCTACCCTGGCAAATAATGCTACAAATATCGTAGGAACAGTTATCTGGAATGTCTCATCTTCGTTCCGCGAATATCATTAGAAACAGATATGATGACGCGAAAGTTAAACTGTGCAATATGCTCAATTTTGTAATTAGTAGAAAGAAAGAATGGATTCAGTATCATAGTATCATGATCCTTTGTTGTGAAAAAACATGTCTTTGTCTTGTGATATGTTGAAAGATCAAACTGATCAAAGAGTTCATGAAGAATCTACATGTATATACTTATGTTCCTCGCACAGTGAAAAAACGACGGTATCTAAAACCATTCAACTCTTAGAAAACCTCTGTCTTTGCAACCTGTTCTTTAAAAGGGAGTTCTTGCTCTAGACTTCAAAATAAAAAGAATGAAAAAAAGAGGACTTTTACTTAGCAAAATGGCAAGATTTAGTATGGGAAGGAAAAAAACTGAAGAAGGCTTACAATACACTGTAGCATATTTGAAATTAAATTAACTCCACTCGACTGGAATGTCGAAGAATGGAAGGCAGGCATCTAGTGTTCAGAAATGCATTGAATAGGAGAATGCATTTAATTTACATAACTAAAATTTTACAATTTTTAATTTTACTAGTTTGCTTTTTCCTTTGGAGTAATTTAATATAACTGATGAATGTTATTTTATTTTTCAGGGTTTCGGTCTACTAGTTGCGAGTTCAGTAGCAGAATGGCTGATGGCGATTTTCTTTTTGGCTTATTACTTTACATTCATTCGAGAGTTTGGAAAAGTTTTTATCCACTTAAGGGTACAGCTGCTTGTTAACCATTTTGATGAAGAGCCTCATGAAGGAAATATCGTAGTGGCAAGTGAACGTACTCCAATTGTGACGTAAAAAAATCTCGTGAACAGTAAAATATTTTATGACCTTCAGCACCTTTATACATATTCAGACAATCAAAATTTTTGAAAGAAATCATTATGCTCCTCCTAAGAATATTTAAAATAAATTCCAAGCCTACTTAGAATTTGTTCATGACTGAAATGTAACTATGTAAATCAATATAATTAGTAAGCAAGCAAAATATAGTTGACCATTGAAATACGCGTATTTGACTTGCGCAGCTTACATAATTTTTCAATATATGTGCTTTGAAAAATCGTTGCCAGATTTATAGCAATATCAAAAAATTAGTAGATTTAGTATGTAATCTAGAAGCTTAAAAATGTTTAAATTATTTCTATCATGAATGCATAAAATGTATGCATATGTTAATTTATTATATAACTTACTACCAAATAATAAGTAATACTAATCTGTCGCAAAAGGTTAAATTTACTAAGATGTAAGCAGAGAAATAATTTCAGATTTTAATGGCGTTATTGGGAATGACAGAAATGTAAAAAGAAAAAAAAATACCCCATAAAGTAAATTATATTTGCTTAAAATTAACTACAGTATGTACTACTGTGCTCCTGTAATAATTCACAGGCAAATCCTGCTGTTGCTAGTACTGTTAAAATGTTGTGAGCATCTGCTTGAAACGCTGTATTTCAATGGTCATTTTTGCCTGAAATTTCATTCATTCAGAAAATGAGCATAGATCTCCTGCGTTGTTGAGATTTTCCCTCTAACCTAGTGTAACACTACAAACCTTAAATAATACGATAACGGCATTATTGTATTATTTAAAGTTACGAATAACACAATTACGAGCTGTTTCTGGTTATGATGGCATTGCTGCTAAGAATGAAAGAAACTCTGAAAAAAAGAGTTAAATTGCTTTAAATGAACAGTAGTTTGATACAAAAATGTTTTCATGAGTTTGTCATGAATATGAATGCAAAGCTGTACGCCATAAAATTTTTACAACGAATATTCATTAGTATATAAGTTTTAAAACTAATGTTCACCAGTATATAAGCAAGGTCACTGAGACTACATTTACCTTGCTATCATAAAACAACCATGCTGCAGTTACATTGTTATCATTGCATAAATTATTGTACCTGTAAATAAAAATTATTTTTTTACCTTTATAATTTCATTTTTTATTTTTAGTGCTGATAACGCGTGTAACATCAATAACGTTTAATATTCTAAAAGGTAAACGGAAGGAGACTCCCTCTTCATAACTAATCAGCCTAAACTAAGATAACGATATAGTTCGGAATTTTGGATAAATTTTCTCTTCCTTCCCTTTCTGAAAGTAATAGTCTTTTTTCTAGTTTAGTTTATTGAAAAAGCATATAATATAAGTAACATGGAACGTGTATGCTAAGTCTCTGTTTATTTTATACTTAAACTGGTATCATTTATGAAAATATTTTGGAAAGGACAATTCTTTCGTGAAATTATTTCGTTTTGTCACATCATAAAATATAGCCGCATCCACTGACCCACTGTGGATCCCTAGAATTACCATGCAAAGGAAAACAGGTACTCTATAATTAATAGGATGATGGAGTTTCGATTCAGTCAGCTGACTGATTGAAATGCGAACAATCGGCAGTAATTTTCTCCTAAAGCCTTTCCCAACAAAATATCCCGCGTCTTTCTTTCCATAAAATCTTATTTGGAATAGGTTGGTTTTCTGAAACAGAGGGATATGTGATAGCGATTTAAGACTTCTGGACAAGAAGTGGCAATAATCAGTAAATTTTTTGGAAGCCAAAAGTTAATTCAGAATTTGCTGTATTCTGGCATCCCTAATTCCCCCCGTAATTCCAAGAGTCAGTTGTAGTCAGAAATAGCTATTTTTTTCCTCTTTCAAATGCAGAAATATATAAAGGGTTAAGAAAGCACATTTAAGGAAAAATAAGGTGGAAAAAGATGCTTTTCTCTTAAAAATATGAGTTACCATTCCAAATTCTGCGTGCATATGCTACTCTCACTTAGTTTCTTTTTTCCCCGTAAGTAATTTATGCCTGTTTGAATCAAGTTGCTGATAACTGGAAAAACTATACCTTTGGTTTTTAAAGAAAAAGAGAAGCCCGATGCATTTCTAGAGGCAGAAAATAAGTAAAATATTTTTTAAATAAAAATATTCAATTATATTATGATTCCAAATCTAAGTAATTCAAGCAACATATGACATTCTATACCGTGTGCCATTTTCTGTACGGATAAAGATTTAAAACGATACGGCAAATTTATATTCTAAATCTAATTTCTGCTCAGTTTTACCTCGTAAAGTGACTAAAGGTTGTTTTTAATGCATATATTTTCTTCAGGTTAAACATACTGAAAATGCAGTAAGCAGAATCATCCTAAAAGCAATACAAAATGTAGTAAAGAATTATAAAAACGTGTAACAAATCAGTTGCCAAGATACTTCGTCATAAAACAAGATAAAGCAGAATTATATAACTTTCAGATGAAAACGGCATTTTCCTGCCTTAACATTCACTACTTAAAGTCAAATTTAGATTATTATCTCAGAGCGATTTGAGTTCTGAAACTTCCTTTACGTCAGGCATTTCTATTAATTTACTGTTTTTTCTCTCGATAGTTGTCTATTGCTCAACGTTTGATTTTATAGAAATATACTGACCTCCAAAGTTTAAAGAGCATACAGTTTTTAAAGAAGAAACTTTAAAAGAAACAAAGAAAGGTCTATGAAAATTAACACACGTACCTAACAACTTATTGCATGATCTATATAATATGTTATTGCATGGCCAAAAAACTACACATTTTATATTTCTGGAAAAAATATCAGCTGTTTTTGTTTAACGTAAATCACATAACTGAAAAACTTATTTACTTAAAACAAATTAGAACAATTTTGATATGAAATATGCCAGCAAGAAGGTAGCTGTAGCACCTCCTTTTAATACTGTTGATTAAATTGTCAACCATTTCAACTGGGAGCAAAGGCAAGACATGCCATAACTTCCACTGCAGCGAAATTTAAGTTTCTTCCAAGACAGACAAAGCTGTTATCTTCGCTTCCAATGTAGCCCTACTCATGCTGGATGGGCTTGATCGAGCTGACCAGTTCATTCGCTGATTACCTTGCTCATGAAAGTACTGGTTAACTACACATGCTTTCTTTTCATTAAAACAAAGGAATTGCCAATTGCGGCAATATATATTTTTATTTAAAGTTCAAGATATCATCGCTATACATCTGAGCTGTTATACTGCAGGACTAGGTAAATAAACCACTTAAACTGACTCTTGTCCAAATGGAAGATATTGTCGAGCACTTAAATGGTTCGTTCAAGTTTGACTTGTATTATGTTTCAAATTCTCTTCCAGATCACCAACGATGTGAGTTACATTGTAGAAAGTATTTCGACTCTACTGTGAAGTGTATTGAGAGCCATTGCTCCTTGCTCCACGTGATGTACTCTCTTGTTTATCCCAGTATGAAGAGGGAATCATACTCTGTTTTCCCATCCCTGTATGAAGAGATCGCTTGTGTGAACAGCGAATGGAATACAGACAGCGGATCTTCTATTAAATAATCTTTGCAAATGCAGTATTCTCTTTATTACAACAGTAAGTGTTTGTTTTCTCGTGGCTGATAAGATAGATTCAATCTGATTTATCAATCATTTCCTTCAGTCTTCATTAAAATTATGTTGATATATTTATTTTTAAAGTTGCATTTTCATATTTACCAAAAATAATCTCAAAAATGTTTTAACCACCTGCTGAAAAGAAATAGAATGATGTCTAATAATATACTATTTTGTATTATTATGTACACACTAATCATTTCTTCAATTTTAACAAAAGTAAACTTATTAAATTTCATCTCAGAATACGAAGTTACAAATTCAATGTCCTGAGATTCAGTTACATTTTCTATTTGAAAATAAATGTGAGGCCGCAGTTCTTATTCTTGGGTAGTAAGAAATTTGTGAAATCAGTAGAAAGCCACAGATGCCTTCTATACATTTTTATAAGCACGTGCAGTTGAATATGTCATAATTTACAACGTTTCAAAGCGGCAAATGGTTTGAGCTTGTACAGTGGGTATTAAACTGACCAAAACAACAAATTTAGCTGGTATATTTTGAGATGTTACATTGAAGATTGTAGAGTCATTAGGTTTTTCATTAGAGGAGGAGTCATGAAAACTGTGTAGTGCCAGCGCAGGGATTCGACGACTATGACTTCCCTTTCCTAGCCGGACATGCTCTCCAATTACACCTAGAAGACATGCGGTAAGGAAAGAGAGAAAATATCTTACAAGGTTATGACACTATATTGTTTTCCTGGGAGAAAACTATCATTCGATAAACAACATCAATCCGTATTTATTGAACGACAAAGGGAGATAATGAAGCATGCTGTAGACCACGCTGTGGCCAAAATTAAAATACAGGAGTTGGAAAACTAATTCTGAGTTGAAAAACATGCTTGCATACTCTGTGAGTATAAAGACAGTGAGAAGGGAACTCAACAAGTACGGTCTTTGTGGTGGAATTGCAAGAGGAAGGACAGAATGGTGCAACAATTATAAAACTTGCACTCTCGATCAGAGACGACTCTTATCTGGTCTGACGAGTTTAATTACACGATGTTTCTAATCTGTGGTAGATTTGATTTGTAGAGAACGTCAACCCAAGTTTATGATCAGGATTCCTTATGTCGAAAGTTAGGTATGATGAACATTCGGTCATGTTATTCGAGTTCCGCTACTTTACTACTCGGTCATATCGCTGACTACGGCTGTAAAAGCATTTTGGGTGATTATTTCTATGGTTGTTCTCTGAAGGAGACATTCTTTATCAAGATAATAAGAAGCCATTTCATGCATCTCATAACGTAACGTTTTGATTTTCTGAGAATAGTGACGAGATTTCCCATTTTCCATGTCTCAGTAAATCTTCCAACTTTAATATTATAGAACTCCTATGGCCAGTTTTGGAGAAAACAAATTTCGAGCACCTCCAGTATTTTTATGAGAAACTGAGCGTGTTTTGGAGGACGAATCCTGCAACATCCCATTATTCAACATCCATGACTTATAATTGCTCATTCCAGAAACAATTTAAGCAGTCTTGAATTCATTCTTTTTCTAGATGCTTCTATAATTTGTTTCTGAGATCAGTAGTTCTAATTCAGGCGTAGTCACAAATCAATCCCATGGCAATTTCTGGAAGATCGGGTTTTTCAGATAATATTTTTAAAGTACAATTATTATATATAATGTTTCATACTGCATCTCTTCCCGTTATCATCGATTAGCCCAAGCTGTTTAAGTGCATTAAATTTTGTGAATTTGCTAGGTAGTTCACGATTAATGTGTTACATAAAATGCCGACCGCAACAACAAATTAACTGACCACTTCTACTATAACTGATTTTTAATATTCTAATTTAGTTTTTTTCTAAATCAAAAGCCCTATCATGTTCTGTCCCCTCACACATTCTAAATGTTATGAAATTAGTTTAATGTTTTTAAATAATAAATTAATTTCTTTAGCAAAATTCGGTAATAGTTACTTTAACTCCTTCACATTTAATCCGCCCGACACGGCCCTACATTGAAACGACCAGAACCGCCCGAAAACGGCCGAGATTGTAATCTTCTTTTATTCCCCCTCCCTAAGGTATGTAGTAGCAGGTGCACTTTGCCCAAATGCATTGTGTCAGTTTACTGCAGACAGCTTGTCCTAAGAGGTTTTTTTTTATCTTTTGGTTGATCGTGACATTTCGCTGTTGATTCTTTTGTGGTACAGTGTGCTTTTAAGGTTTAAACAGCAATAAAAGAGCAGCTTAAAAATTTAAGGATTATATTTATTTTTAAACAATTTATTCCTTCCTATAAAAATAACGGAAGTAAACAAAATCTCAGTCGTGATCATAACAAAGCCGGAAAGGCTTGTTGATCTGACCTTCAGAATAGTTTTATAAAGAACGGGGTCAAAGGCTAATGGAATCTTTGTTAGAAAGTACAAAGGATGTCATTGGACATCTTCACCTATTTTCTGCGTTAATGGACGGGGAGGGGAGAAAATTGCTGTGAAACTGGAAAAGTATTTCGGGCGGTTCAGGTATTTTGAGGATATAGCTTAGCGAAGGGTCTGGATTTCAAAGAGTTAAAATCAGCGGATAGAAATTTTAAAATATATTCTTTAACGAAACTTTACAAAGCAAATCCTTTATATCCGAAATTTTAGAATTAGTGAATTAATTCATCCATGATGAATTTTATTCTTTGGTACTCAAGATTTTTAATTCTTCATATAAACACCAGAACAACTAAAAACAAAGAAAGATACACCTTATTTTAGCTCTTTGCATTTTAGCTTTGAAAGATAATGAAACGAGGCTGACGATTACTTTAAAAGGTATTTTCTCCCTTCTTTCCACATGCCTTCGTGGTGTTACTGGTAGCACACTCGGCACGACTTCAATAAGTCCAGCTTCGAGTCCCGGCGAGGGCACTGCTCATTTTCCACGTACTCCTGCTTCAAAATAACCTAATGATTCTACAGCGGTGCCCGAACTAAAAGATGGTGAACGACAATTCGTCACCACCAGAATTTGACGATTGGGTCTCCTAACCTCAGTCGCCCTTTAAAAGAGGAAATATATAAGGTATTTTATCCCCCTTTGTAACGTCTGCTGCTTAAAAATAACCTAATGACTCTGCAACTTAATACGTTCTAATTGCAGCTGCAAATATAGATTTATTTCGTTCCCAGTGATAATTATAAATGCAATCAGATGCACAGCTTTGCTTTGAGTATATTGTTTTAAAAAGTAGTCTCTCGATGAGCTTCACAATTGAAAGCTGACAACAACAACCACAAAATATTTTAATGAACTTGTAATTTTTCTGAATCAGTGTGGCGACCCTCTTTGCAGTTCACTTAAGGTAAGTACCCCAAATGAGTTACTTCTGTCTCAGTCTTACGATGAGTAATGGATATGAAATATCCTGTGGAATAAACATAAGTTCCACTTAAAGGAATGATCAATACTCATAACTGATGTAGATGGTGTTAAGCGAATTTTTGAGCGGGTACAACAGCAGAAAGACCTGCTGTTGTGACTAATCTCACTTGTCTGACCTCATCAGAACACTCCCACGAAATTCATCGTGGCAAGGGGTACAAAGCTACGCCTGCCCTTGGCAAAAGCGTTGGACACCATACATGTGGCAATACGCTTTTGCCCAGTTCCGCTCCAATTTTGAGGGAAAGCAGTTCGGGAGGTGGGTTCGAGGGTTTCACAACGCTCTTTCCCTACCACCAAACCACAAAAATGGACTTTTGGCTCTCCAAATACTTAGAACGCCTCCATGCCGCAAACAGACTGTACATTTAGAAGCATTCAATATTCCGATATTGGAACCCGGCACATTCGGTACGGTAGTCAGAGTCACTAAACACTATCCCTTTTGATCGGCACAAAAATACTTGATCTGTGTATCTTGTTTCACGGAAAATTTTATTCGAAGAATGAAGCACGAAACTAATAAATGAAACATTTTTGCCTCTGTATTCCTATTTAATAATTTTAAGCTGCTTCTTAATTTGGCACTAATGCCAAATTAAGAAGGTCTATTGAACAAACATGGGCAACTGCCGAGCTGCCCATGTTCAGCTGATGATTGCTTTTGGAAACTTCTTTACTAGACTGGTATAAATTTGACTACTCTGAACTTTGCTCTTTCGTATAGTGGAAGTATAAAAGTGGTTTCGTACAGTGAAAATTTGGTAAGTCCAGGTAGGGAGGCCGATAGAGAATCACTACTGTTGCTAGCATAGCGTATTCTAATTCCACCTCTACGGCTAATTACTTTAAACAAGAATTAATCTCAGTATTAATATCAGCAATAAACTTTCATGAGAAAAAAGGTGTGCGCAATATTTTGAAAATAAAGTGCATCACTTTGTAGAGTCAATAGGTTTTTTGATGCTGGAGACGTGAAAAATTAGCAATGCCTTCACCGGGACTCGAACCTGGATCTCTCGAAGACGTGCTGAGTTTGCTACCTTCACACCAAGAAGGAATGATGGAAGAAGGGAGAAAATATAACTTGTGAGAATAAATTTTTTAATCTCGCTTATCTTAATTATTTATAAAAGAAGGATGCAACTTAAATCAGTTAATTCATATTCAAATAAGTTGATGTTTACTATGTTGATACTAACGGCGGCAGGATGTCGATATAATGCCTAGAAAAGACAACTTAGAGAAACCACATGGTTGGTCATTTAGTACATACAATATAATGTAGTGTCAAGGCTTTTAAATTATTATAATTATTTATTGTTCGCAACGTTTTGTTACTTTGAGTATAATGTTTTAAAAAGTAGTCTCGTAATATGTGTCATAGTTGAAAATTAACAATAAAATTTCTTTAATGAATTTTTAATTTTTCTGAATTAATATACCCCCTCCTTATGATTTTCTTAAGTACTTCAAATGCATCAACTCTGTCCCGGTCCTAAGATAAAAAAATGGACGTCAAATATCCCGTGGAATGAGCATTTCCACTTAAAAGGAACAGCCAACACTCATAAACTGCTATAGATGGTGTTCAGCGAATCTTCACGTGACACTCGGCACATGTAATGGTATGGCGTGGATTCACTATCAGTTTCATCCTCTATCTCTTTTTCTTGGAGGAATCGATACGTGGAAATATTGTGAGGATTAAAGTTAGCAGCGAACGTTACAATCGACTCCTGGGACAACATTTTCCACCGAAATTACTATAGTGTGAATGTTTGCACAACATCGATTAAGAACGAAAACATGGATTACAACTTGGACATTGAAAAAACGTGAAAGTTTAACAGTACAGACAGAGCAACTGCTCATATGAGGAAATGTTTAGATAGTTATTCGTGTCAAATTCTCTGATGAATGTTTCATCTTAGGAACTTTTCGTATGAATGTCCTCCCCTCCTCCCAATCTCAAGCCGTTTAACAATTTGTCTGGAGTTTCTTAACATCCGTGTTTATCAGTGAGACATCCTTTCAGTGTGGAACCTGCACAGGGCAAATACCTAAAAAACTCCTCCTGAAATGGTGAATGCGGCATCTGATAAGGCGATCTTGTGATTTTAGCATGTGACAAACAACGAAAAATGTTATGCTGAGCACACAACTTTAAAATTTTATTCCTGTAATAAAATTTTATACACTTGAATTACAAATCTCATAAGCTACAGCGTCACATTTACCCTGGTAGAAAATTGTTGAATCTGTACTTTTTCGTAACTTTCTTTTCAGTAATTAGAATAATAAGCTTAATTAATTTCATTCGAGTCGATTAGTTAGAACAGTCTTCTCGTAGTACCGTAAGTTTAATGATAACTACTCTGATTGTAGATAAGCACATGCACTGCTCAAAAATGCTCAAAACTGTCCATCTAAATAAGAACTATTCCATTTCATTAATCGCAGAAACTGGTTTGTAGGATTCATTGTTGACTTAGTGATACAATATGAGTTTCAGCAATAATAATTATTTGTGTTTGCCTCTATGCAGCAACCAACTTAATTTGTCATTGACATTTAAATTTAACGAATTACGTGAATAAATAAACCTTTATTTTACCTTAACTGCAAGTAAATCGGAATTAATTCACTTACGAAAGCAAAAAATAGCTTTATTTTCGACAAATACATTTCGCATTACATATACACTGAGTACAACTTGATGGTACTCTTTCATATAAAGAAAAACATACATACATATTGTTATCAAATTCAAACGCATAAACTAGATACAAAACATTTATAAAATGAACTAGATTCCATCTTTTATATTTACATACTTTGTGTTAAAAGCAAAGCATTAAATAGAGTATCCCAATCAAGTAAAATGTACAGTTTATTACATGTTTTCAGCACGTTCATTATAAATTGTTAGATTTTTTTATGCTCGTGGAACGAATAGTGCTAGTTTGATTATGTAAAAGAAGGCAGAAATTTATATAATAAAAAACTGATTACAAGAAATGAAAAGCAAACAATCAAAATATTAGGCAAAAGGAAAGGAATGTCAAGAAGTATATCCTTAATGATTTTAAGTTTATAAAAATATCTCTTTGGGGTTTCAAAAGAAGTGGTGCAAAATTTCATTCATTAAATACTGCTATAGATATATATTTCCAATTAAAAAACATTCAAATAAAGATACATAATTTTATGAAAACAGTTCCAACACAATAAATATAGTATCAACTTTCATACGGAATCGGAAAACTTTAATCCTCAAAATATTAGTTATGCTTTATTAATAAATTAACTGAAAAATGCTTCCAGTGATGATCTAAATTGAACGTAATTAGACCACTCTAGGTATGGCAACCATAGGACCATAAAACAAAAATTTTACGCTCTGGTAAGTAATTGTTTCCGCATTAGAAAAAACTACACTCATTATGAAATTTGCAACTGTCTTTGTAAATCATTAATTGCTTGTATACCAGCGAATTTCACGTAAAGAAATGAAATGTATTTACTTTATCAAAGAATAACGAATATTAATTTTTATGTACGGATACAAATTTTTATTTTGTATTTATATAAGCCTGCAAGCGTAAAACTGTTTTCATAAAATTCTTTACTTTATATTGAAAAAAAAATTATATTAGAAGTTCATGTCTAGAGTTATTATTTTCGGGCGGGTAAAAAGCCGTAGCTACCTTTCTCTAATCTTGTATATAACTGCTGCAGTACGCAAATAAATAAATAATGATGTTAAGTACTTTTTTCATAGGAAGTTACTGAAGTTACTTGATGAGGTTACTGAAAAAGTATCGCAATTAATCTAGTTTATTGTCAGATCTAATTAGATTAAATTTACAATTAAGTTCTGAGATATCTAGGATATAAAGGATAAAAGAATATAAGAGACACAGGGGAGTAAGTATAAGAAAATTATATCTACTAGCATCTTTTGTTATACCCTCTATTTAATTTTAGATATTTCTTCGACCGCCTGGTAAAAGAAAAGATGCAGGAGATAAAGAAGGCAAACGGATAAAGGAGAAATTTAAACTTTTATCTAATTTTAATTAATTATCTATTTCATTTTAAATGTATTATTTATTAAAGAATAAATTTAAATTTCTTAGATCCAATATACGTAAAAAATATAAATCAAAAGTATCCAATCATTACGTATTTTATTGTTATAGATTGCAACAGTGTAGTTATGTAAGAGCTTTCTCCAAATTTTACTTATTGCACTTTTTTTCGAAATAGTTCACTCTTTTATTTTCCTTAATAATTGGAAGATGATTTCTATGATATATAGATTAATAAATAAGCATAGCAAAATAATATACAAAAGACGAAAACAAGTGATATGTAAAAATAGCTCCTTAGCATAAACTTTGATTGCAGAAATTTCGTCTTTTGCACATGTCATTATCTGACTGGTCCTCGTGGCCTTCATCAGTGAACATTGCAGATCTGGTGTTTTAATGAAATAAATAGAAAATACAAACTCCTTTAAGTTTCATGATACGGGGACAGGTTTGGGTTCACTTGGGACGACACTAATCAAGAGGTGGAAATTTCGAAACTCAATACTGAAGGTAAGCATATAAACGAGAAATGAAGTGTACAATATCCATTCAAATAGAGAACTGCAAAACATGATCCCAAATACCTAAAATTAAAATTATGTAAGTAAAACAAAAGGAATAGTTTGGTACTTACACTGAAGTTTTATAAATTACAATACTCACATTCTAACTATTCATTATATATGTGTGAAATCAAAAATGCTTTAAAATATATTGAAAATAGAAAGTAAAATTAAATAAGTAAATAAATACTATGTATGAAGCCTGATTGTAAAGTTTCAAAACTGACGCTTTTATTCAGAATCAAATGACTCCATGAGACCTGCATTTTTTTTTTCAATATATAGTCTTTTTCACTAAAATAATTTTTACAGCATTTAATTATTTTAATTTACATTACAATAAAAAACATGAAATGTATGGTTCTATGACATCTCTTTTAGTCGTGTGGTTGGGGCAGATTAATTTCTTCATCTGAAGCAAAACTCCTTCAACACAACTGTCTTCTCGAAAGTGAGTATGCACAGAAATTGTTCAGGACTAATTCTGGGCTAGACGCAAACTATTCTAGCACTGTTCCATCGACTCAGACAGTGTTGTCGTCTTGAAACACAGACTATGCATATTGAGCAAATCTGACATTTTCCCCCTTACTGGTTGCATGCAAATTCGTTATCAAAATGTTTGCATGACAGCCACCATTCACGTCTGCGATTGGTAATATTGACGTAGGCAGTCGTCTGTAATAACCTGCTATATATACCCCTCGATAGTGATACCCTTTTGTAGCGCGTTTACCACAGAAATACCGAAGCACCGCTAAGTGTTTCACCACTATATGTACGCCGTAACACTTCAAGTGTTGCCTCTCTTCCCGAGTTTAATACGAAATTCCATTACACCTCTGCCGTAACTTCACAAAGACGTCTTCCTCGTCTACTACGATAAAAAGTTCTATATGTTTCCAATTGCTGTGACGAAATACTGAAGGACATGGCTGTCTAGATTCACAATCATCTGTATAAACCTCACCAACCTAGAACAAGGTTATTTATTTCTTGAGAGAGAAATATAGGCAGTCTTGAAATTGTTCAGTCAGATATTATGTAATTATAAATTTACAATTCCTTTATTAAATTGTAGGTAAAGCGTAAAAATATTTTAAATCGTAAGGAATCAAGTTTGAAAACTTAACATGAAATAATTTCAAGAATTTAAAACATATAAACAAGGCTGACTGATTTTTCAATTCTATAACAAATAAAATGTTATGAAACTACTCAGCGAAATTAAAACTAAAATGTAGGACAAAACTGCTCTTGATCTTCGGCGAAAACATTCTTTTTTTTTTTTTCAGTATACCGTAAGCGCATTTCATGAATTATATAAAGTAGAAGATGGCAGATCAAATCGAAAGGAAAAAATTGTTAGAATTGAAGCTTTTTTTCAGTAAATGCGCTTTAGAAATGGCAGTTTTTTGAATAAAAATTTAAACAATGAAACGCAGAAGTTATGAATCATTGGATCTCGTCGCTTTTCTAGAAATAAAATTAAATTAAAAAAAAATAAATGAGAAATCAAAAGAATTCCACTTCAAAAATGTTAATCAAGAAAACATCATTTTAAAAATATTATTTATAATTAGTAACTACATTTTAAATTAATTTATTATTAAGTTTCGTATTTTTTTTACTTCAACGAATAAATTTTTCATAATATATCATGTTTCAATCAGTTTGGCGAATACACGTTATTAGTCAGTTAAATCTAAGTTTAAACACGATCAAATATCTGTAAAGTAAACTAATTCACTTCGAAACGCAGACTGATACACCTATAATGAATTATCAGTTCAACTCTATCATATAGCTGGGGGGAAATTAACATGCAATTTTTACATTGTAATTTTAGCACGCTACAGTCAGATTGTGACAAACGGAAATATCCTTTTACCTCCGTATGATTAAATACACAGAGAAAGCAACACTGACGAGCAATTGCTGCGGACGGTTAAAAAAAAACCCGAACTGTAGTCTCAGTTAAGAAGCGTAAAAACGCGTTAAGTGTGGAAGTGATCTTAGATATTACAATCAAAAACTGGATAGAAAACAGCAGTTTTGAGACATTTATTTTCAAGTAACAGAGTCTACTAGACAAAAGTTAGCTCAAGCCTTTCGTCTATTTACACAGCAGTTTAAAAAAAAATTCTACAGCCTTGTTAAAACAACTTTATATAACTCAAGGGAAATTAGACTGATACGTTTTATTTCATTTAGGCGCAAACTGTAACAAATCAAAATAATTTAATAACCGAATTATGCAGGAAATCGCGTTGTGGGGTTCCTTTTATCTAACAGCTAAATGTGTAGGAAACTCGTGAACAGATAAACGAAAAATCGCTTGAGTTCGGGATCAGAGACGTAAAACTCAAGAAGGATTAATTACCCCTTTATTATTCAAAATAAGATATGAAGAGTCGACTCCTTTCTCACGGCGTACAGCAAAGCCTCCACTACGACTTGAACTCAAGAGTGAAAGAAATAAAACTTAACTAATGATATAGCCGACGCTATCAAAATTCTAAGTAGTTGGCCCCTAAATATCGAATAAGCTAGCAAGCTATAAAGGGCCTAAAATACGGCCGAGCGTAGCTTAGAGAGAGACGTAACCAAAAGGCAAACGCGCGCTAGTCAAAAACTCTGAGGCTCTAACAAAGTCAGTGAAACTTCGACTTAAATACCACTCTTACTCATTTGCATTAACGGCGATTCTAAAAACAATTCTTGGTAAGAAATTGTAAGCTGAAATTAGGAGGGACAGGAAAGTAGCTTTAACAAAAGGTAACTGTTAAAAACTTAGGATAAACCTTACAGCATAACCAAAAGTTCTACCTCAGAAGGTGTTTAACTAGCAGTTATCATTTCGAACAATTGCCTTTAATGTAAAGGTATCTCTTCTTTCGAAACTATGTTTGTAGATATTATGTAAATTATTAAAAATATCTATTGGGCTTTCTAATTTGCTTCAAGTTCAATTCTTCAATTATTATAATTTAATATTTTTATTTCGGGAATGTACCGAAAGAAATAAAATGTTAATTGCATTTATTATACCCTATTGCTGTTCCTAATCTTGAACTACAAGTTACAATTAGACGCTTTTATGGCTTGACTTGAAAGCTATCATTTAGCTAGTATATAGCCTTTTAATCATTTGTTCTTTTCAAGTTAGGTTCCTGCTTTCTATGATTAAATTTAATCCCAGCATATCTACACGTTTTGGTATTAATTTTCTAACCGTTTAACGTCAATAATTTTTAACTAAATGCATGATGTCAACTTACTTGGTCTTCAGGTACTTTAAGAGCAGGTACATGAGAATTAATTTTATTCCACCTAAACTGTGACAAAGGGAAAAAGATAACTACTGCAATATCCATTAAGGAAGAAAGTATCAAAGATATTTTCATGAAATCATATACACTGAACTAGATATACGCATACATCAATTTTCCATATAACTAATTATTCAGCTGTACTTATTTATTACCTCATCAACAGCAATTTAAAGACCGTTATTAAACAGGTTATTATTATTATTATTATTTATTTATTTATTTTATTACCTCTCTCATATCGCTATTTATCTCACAAAGTATACATGTGTGAGTAATAAACACAATGATGCAGCACAGTTGTGGACGACAGAGATTTTTCTATCTGAAGAGACAGTCGAAGACCACCAGTTATTTGTTTTCAAACATAATTATACTAGGATAATTATCTAGTAAGCACAGTGAATTAACGAATGCGCCAAAAATGACGCGAACGATATTTTAAATTAGAGCGTAGTCTTTCATAAATTGATTGTGGGCATCGAGTTAAGGAAAGAGAAAGATCTAGTATAGTAAACATAAATTATATAAATGGCTTTAAATTTTTTGACCAAAAAAGATTATTATCCAATTTTGTTATTGGTTGCTACTCATATCAGCCTGCACAGTCTAAATGAAAATTTCAGTGCTTTTTTAAAACTGGCCTAACTTTTCCCACATATTTCGCATGTGAAAAAGTTAGCGGTCAAAGAGAAGTATGCTGCCGTTAAAATTCGTTAATTCATATAGGCGGGTTCACAAGGAAGCCATCATTTACGGATAACCATATAAAATTACGCTGAAGCAAAATAAAGCATCGCATTTATAAAAAAAGTAGACTGAAATTTACAAATTAAGAATGAGATTTAAAGATTTTTTTTAACATATATTATATCTTCCAAAATAAAACGCTTTTGAGAGAGATGACGTTTAAGGAAAAAAATTCAAAGTTATGAAAATATTCAAAGTTTCAAAGTTTTAGAGAATAAGTCAATTAAAATACATTTAAAATGTTTAAATACTATCAACTGCAAACAATTTCACCATCAGTTTTCGCCATAAAATATTTTTCAGAAAAATGGACTGATATTCTAATCAGTTCTCAAAATATATTTTTAATATATATACATATATATATATATATATATATATATATATGTGTGTGTGTGTGTGTGTGTGTGTGTAAGATATAACAAAATACGATGGCTGCTTTAAGAAATAATTGGCGACCTCAATATTATCTACTCTAGAGTTTATGTTCCACCCCCTAAATTCATCTGTTCTCCCCCAATTCGAGATCTTTCCATGTTACATAACAACCTTAAATTAACCAATCACAGATTAGCTGTACTTATGCATCATACTTAGTGTAAATACTCTTGGCAAAACAACTACGTCATTCCTTTTCCTAGCTCTGCTCTGCCAACATCCTTGCGCTGCTTTGCCGTCTAAGATGTCTATGTCATATCGTTAACAACCAGTGTACATAAAAATTATTGTATGTAACTTCTCTACCAAAAGTGAGCTGATACAATTTATCATGGAATAAAGTTGTGTTTGGAAACGGCCACGTCTGGAAGTTATTGGTTTATGCATCCTTTCTAACTAACTGCGCATTGAAAATATTACACACATATATATGTATATGTATATATTTCAAGACTGAGAGATTCAAAATAAGTAAATGCAATAATATTACAATGATAGAAAAGTAATGATAAACGGAAGAATTGGAACAAAGTTAACATATTTTTTAGAACATTAAAAACATTAGTTGGGATTTAAAATTATAAAATAATACATACAAAAGCTTTAATTTAAAATCTGAAAAACGTATCATACTTCAAAGGAAATGTAATCATTAAATATAATGTAACTAATTTCAGAATCTGCTGGCAGAAAAGGATACGTAGGAATAGGAAATTGAGCAATACAATGGAAAGAGCAAGCCTTAACCTGCAGAGATGAATTGGTATTCCAGGTGTGCGATAGCTAATGAAGGTTTGCAGAAACACATAGAGCATTGCCAGAGTGAAATGGATACCTGCAGCTAACAAATGAGCCCACAGAACTGTCGACATCTGAAATTTTTGAAACTATAACAATTATCACAGGGAAAAGACGTTTTGACTCTCATTCCAAAAATATTATTAATGTATTATAAACTCTTGGTAAAAAAACTAATAAATAAAATAAGCTCAAACCAGTCCATGAACTAATAGCATGCTTAAAGTGATAATAAATTTGGGAGAATTAATACCAAAAAGGAACATATATGAGGTTTACACATACATAATCCTTAGGGAACATTATCCTATACTCTGTTACATTTTCTCTTTTTGGTATTAATTCTCGACACTTACTGGAATTAAATAATTTGATTTCTATTCTACCTTTTCCTGAATTATAGCTATATGTAAGATATAAAAATATGGAGGAATATTATTAACAAATTAAATTTAATTGTAACAAATTACTAACTAAATTCGCATACAGACCTTTAAATTCATAATTTCGATTAAAAATACTTACCTTTCGCTCGCACACGCACTCATTCGCACTGCAATACCTCTTGCCTAGTCGCTATCTAGATGTCAAACAACGAATTTCCGAGCTGTAGATACTTCAACTGCATTGCGCGCATTCCCTTTTGCCGCCTACACTTGCTTGCTAAATGACATCTATTCGCTTAGCAGCATTCTCTCTTGTTTAAAATGGGCCCACCAGCGGCCGAGCGGTAAAGTCGCTGAACACTGGTAGTTCGGTCCGAGGTTCGAATCCCGCGAACGGGCTGGCTGCATGGGCGTTTTCGAGGCTTTCCCCATGTGTAACGTGTATACGAGCCAGTTTCCCTTAGAAAGTCCTCCACGAAAGGCATCCCTCCCTTTAGGCAGATAGCCCTCGAGGCTTTGCCATAATAACACACACACACACTCTTGTTTAAAATGCAACTGCGTATATAAAATAGTGGGGCCGCATTTAGCAACACTGTAGTGTTGCAGAAATCAAGAAGAGAAGTGTATCTGTAAAGAATTGTTTTTGTTCAGAAATAAAAATGGATATTTAGTGTTCATGATGGTTACAGCTAATTGCAGCTGCGTCGTGATACATTATAACGCTATCACAGTCCCCAGCACGACTACTACTTAACTGGTTCTCCCATTGTACCATTTCTAAAATATCACACATACCTATTAAATTGGGAAAAGAGATCGCAAGCCCTTCTGCATTCTTATAATATTAGCCTCGTTTCTCGTTTTCCATTTTTTGTATTCTTTTTTGTATTTTTATATAGTAGGTTTTTGTATTTTTATATAGTAGTGTATTTTTATAAAGGAAACTTTTTAATGATTATTTTCCCATATTAATGAATTAAATTTTGCATTAATCAGACTAATCATTGTTTATTGTCAGTTTACTGAAATGTTAATTCAACTATTTATAACTTTGCTAATGGTAAAATATTATTTTATTTTACTACACACTGTATATATATATGAAACAAACAAAAGTTGAAAATTTTCAAATTAAGATGATATATATCACATCGGAGCAGGTTTAATCTTAATGATTAATTTTAAAAAATCCCCTCCAAAAATATATTAATTTTAAATTATCTTAACTGGCATTTTATTTTTTTATTTTATTAATTGGCATTTTCTTTTAATAGTCAAAAAATGTTTTTAAATGTTTCCAGAATTAACAATCATCTAGATATAATTCAGAAATATTTTATATCAGTTTTATTAATTTTATTCAATTGTTGTTGTTTCAGTTTTGAATTTTTTAAATTTTGTTTTACTGTAGATATGTGTATTTCCTGTTATTCTAACAGCTTGCCCACCTTTGATCCGATTTCGATTTAGTTTTTATCTCTTTTATTTAGTTTTTATCTCTTATATTATGTGTGTGTGCGTGTGTTTGTTCGTGTGTAATATAATTTTTCCCAAGGACGAATTGAAAACTTATGTACCTATGCTACTTTTATTTTAATTAAAATATTGGTTTAAACAGTGAACTGTATATAATTCAATTAAATGCCTGAAAATTTCATTTTTTTTACTGTACCCATGCATTAATTATTTTTTTGATAGATATTTTTGAATTATCAATGTCTTCAAGTTCGCCATGCATTCGCATGCATTATTTAGTACGGATAATCGGCTACGCCAGTGACTGAGCGGTTAAAGACTACTGAATACTTGTAGTTCGTCTGAAGTTCGATCCCAGGCGAACGGGCTAGAGTTTTATGATAGGTTTTTGTGATTTACCCACATGTGAATGTGAATACGAGCCAGTCTGCCTTAGAATGCCCTCCTTGAAAGCATCTGTTCCCTTAGGCAGATAGCCCTCCAGTGTATTCAAATAATCTAACCTAAAACGTACGTATAATAAGAGGTTCAGTTGAAATTAGTGCAGCTTGGAGTACATCAAATGATGCATCACATTGTTATTACATTCTTTTTATTTTTTCTTAGCGCACAAAGTGAGCATACGGTGGTTAAATATTAAAACTTGGGAAAAGAAAACACTTCCTCGTAAATTTGCTAAAAAGTGATAGCTAGCAAAAAAAGCGATAAGTGATAGCTATAAAAGTGATAGCTAGCAACATTTAATACGTACCGGAAAGGCTGCGACACCAGCAAGTCCAGCCATAGATATTAAACCGATAGCAAAACCAAAATGGTTTAACTTCTGAAGTTTTGCGTCAGCAGCTTTGAGAAAATATGTCATAATCAGATGCCGGTAACAGATGACGATGGCACCTGCGAAAAAGAATGCACATTAAAATTGCATTGAATATAACAATATCAATCTTAATAACAAATAATAAGTAGCTCAACCAAAATACCTCTTTTATCAGCCTAAAATTATTAATAATTTCTAAGCCACTCACTTGTAAATGACAGAATTTCAGGAGGTAAATCTCACCTAGGAGCCGGTACCAGCTCCTAGACTTTAAGTTCATATTTTAGTTGTTTATTCTATTTAAAGTTATTTCAGGTATTATGGTGGTACTTCTACTGCTTAATGAGCCTGATTCAGGCCTTCTTTTAGATCTCAATGTTTATTTAATTAAATAGCTCCACTAAGCCTTGTTAAGCCTCTAATGGCGGTACAGGAAGTTCGACCAGTCATATGTACCGTTAAAAAATATGTCAATGACAAAAGTGTTTTTCATAAGCGCGAGTGGTCAAATAAACAAATTCCATCCGGAATAAACAAATTCTACCTGGAATATTCCTAACGAAGTTTTCGAGGATTCTATACACACATTGTTGAAAAGAGTTGTATATCTTAAATCTGCACGAGGAAAATTTCTAAAAGATATCTTTTAAGTCAAATAAATATAAATAGAGAAGAGAGCATTTCATGTTACAATTCATAGGAATAAAATTCGAAATTTTGCACCTCCCGAAATCCAGTTTTATAGGGTTCATAAAAGTAACATTTCCACATTGGGTAAAAACGAATTTATATAATTTTGGATGATATTTCTTAAATCCAAGTATGCATATTATGAACCTTTCGTTTTAAAGATCTTTAATAGGATAATGAGTAACTTATTAACTGGAAGCTTCTCCGCCAAATACCAGCATAAAAATTAATTTCCTACATTTATACTCAAAAATACAATGAAACCAAAATATTTCGTAGTCTGAAAGTCTGTTTTAATTATTTTTTTACACTGCAACCACGGATGTATGACTTAACCCTGTTTTAAGAGATATTTATTTGTCAAATCTCTGTAACGATTAGCCGCGCAATTGTTTTCAAATTTAATCACGCAATCTCTTTAACTATTTGTATACAATAATAACAGACATTCCATTACCTCTATTTCTTCTTTTAGTAAAGGCTTCATTTCAAATCTCAACTCAATTCCGAAAAGCTGTCAAATTTGCATTGGTGTGCATTTCTTGCATCTGTTTAAATATGTAGTTGTGAATCAAAATCGTAAAAACAACCTTGTATTTAGCGTAAGTATATTGACCTTGTATTTAGCAACCTTGTATTTAGCGTAAGTAGTTGTGAAATTTGAAACTACATCATGAAAGCAGGTAACTCTTTTTCACGAATAATAAAACTTCAGTGTAAAGTGTAAATGTATAATGTAATGAATATGTAAATGAATGTGTAAATGAATAAAGTTAAATTCCGATTTATCGGTATAATATCATGGGCAACATCAACGATTAACTCAAAAACAAGGTTAATTTGAGGGTAGTTAAAAACACAAGAAAGATAAAGGTAACCCATACTATAATTTACAGAAAAAAAAAGCTATTAACAATTCATCTGTATTTTCAAGCAATTTAATACGGATAATAAATTCATTTGGTCCCTTAAATTAAATCAGTTTTCAAAACGAAAAGAACATACTGTAAGCTACGAGAAGATAAACATCATTAGAAATGAAGACTCAAAATTATAAATAACATGAAAGATGTTTATAAGACAGCTTAAACTAAGTCATCGAGTTTAAACTTGTTAGTTTAAACTTAAAATAGTCAGTTAGAACTTTTTGTTTTCTTCTTGCTCAGTTTATCTGCTATCACCGCTGTTATCCCATGCATGTCTTTTCTGTTTGTTTGTGTTTTTCGTAGACAGTTTTGTTTTGTGTACATGCTTTTACGCCAAATGATGGGCTTCGTCCAAAAACTCCTTTCCCCATTGACGAGTAACAATTTGATCTCCCTTTGATGTTCTCTCTCATCCTCTGGTACTCGCTCAAATCTCTTTTAGCCTCTCCAGCGGAGGAGTTATCCTTTCGATAACACTCGCTTCTCTGTCATCCGTTCCAACCCAAGATTGTTTTACGTTTTTCTGCTCATCAAGATGTTCTCGGCTTAAATTTTTCCCGCTTCTTGTTTGCATAGAACATTCTTCATAACAATACAGCATAAATAACGGTATTTTATACCTATTATGTGATTACTATTGGGATATGGCTATCATTTATATGGTTACTATTTAGACCAGTGATCGAAAAACCATCGATCGCGAGCTACTCCTAGCTCGAGGGGACATCTTCGGTAGATCGCGTTAAGGAACAACAAGCCAAATATTTCCATAGCTTGATAAAGCGATTTTACAAATAAATAATTTGGAAAAATCAACCAGTTCCAACTCCAAAGCAGCAGTGTCTTCTTGTCAGCGTCAGCTCAGTGGAGGAATCAAGGTTAGCCATCCAAAGATATCCCCGAACTGAAGATAGTTAATGCGATCTACCAAAGATATCCCCTAACTGAAGATAGTTACGAAAAATAACCCAATTTTGGCCCAGCTTTGTCTCAAACTGAAGGCAATGTTCAGGTCTATATATCTATGTGAGATTTCGTTTTCCGGTATGAAATTTATTAAAAATAAGTACAGATACAGGCTCACCGATGAATACTTGAACAACTGTATTCGAATGGCAGCCACTACCTGCTCTCTAAACAATAAAATACTTGTTGATGACAAAAAAAAAAAAAAAAAAAAAAGAGTTCTATTCTCCTCATTAATGTTAATCAGTCTGATAAAAAGGTCTGTTATTACATTTGTTATTTACTACTAACTAACACTTCAATTTCTTTCTTATTTACAATTCAATTTCAATTTCTTTTTGTTACATACAGTTAATTAAAATTAATTTCAAATTTACTAGAAATGAAAGTTTATAAGCAATAAACAAATATAAGATTTTTTAAAAAGACGTTTGGTAGTTCTCTTGGGTAGCTCACAGTAGGATTTAAAAACGGTATGGCAGTTCAGAAGCTTCATAAGTTTCGCGACCACTGATTTAGACTAACCATTTAAAAATATTGCAGGGTTTTACTTTATTTTATTAATAGTTATTTTTGTTTTTAAGACAGCTTTCCTTTACTCACTCATTTTCTTACTTGCGCTTTCCTACCAGAATGAGTTTTCACTTTCACACTTTAAGCAAAACAGGGGAGAAAATCTTATTTAAGCTGAGGTCTGAGGTACGTGAATCAGATACCAGGTAAAGCAGGTTCACAGTCTTTAGCCTGATCAAGCAGGCTATAGACTTCGATTTTCCCATTTAGGGTATTTCAGTGATGTTACTGATCGGTCATTGAACTTAAGATACGGTTCGAACACTGGCGAACTTTAAAATAACTCGAGATTTATACATATTTTATTCTTAAGTTTATTCTATCATTATGTGTTGATCTTACGTGTAACTGCACTTCTACAGTGTAAAAATGCTATCACGACGTCTGCCATCGGTGGATATGCTATATAATTGCTTTGCCAAGTCATCAAATAATGCTACTGTTACTACGAACAGCCATTCAGCATGACGTGCATAGGTTTTTTTTCCTATGTAGTGGATTTAAGATGTTTAAAAATAAGATTACCTAGGGGGCTAAGTAAATTTATGGAACTAATAGCTAGAAGGTCGAAGACTCCCTATCAAGTTTAGATCCAAAATCCAAGATTCAGCTTCCGTTAGAGCTAAAGAGAGAGCCAGAGAGCTAGCGAGAGAAAGAGCGTGTTCTGTCTTTTGGTTACGTTATTGCCACGAGTTAAAGCTTGCTAGTTGACTTATTACTTGTTGCTTATTACTGTGCTTATTACTTGTTGAGTCTACGCCAGTGATTTTTAGATAAGGGCCAATTATGCGGCAACAACTCAATGCAGCTTAGGCTGTTTAGTTCTACACTGGTAAAATAAATTAAGAGAATTTGCACATTTTATCGAATTGCATGAAAAGAACTGAACTGAAGGAAAACCAACTGCTCCTAGATAAAAATGCAAATCTTGTACGGCAAATATGTAAGCGTACACGTGTGTGTAGGCGGAGTCAGCAGATAAACAGGCTTTATAAGCGCGTGGAGGGTAAGACGAATTGCGTTCGCTAGCACACCACGACGAATTTCTTGCTGTTATTTTGCAGCAATCGGTTAAATTCACATCGGAACAGTAAAAATGAGTAACCACCAACGTTTAGATGATAGAATGAGGTGGCGAATTGTGGGGAGGCTAGAGGCAGGCCAATCGCAAGTGCAGATATGCAGAGAGTTTATTTAACGCCCAGCGTCGTGTATAACTTATGGAAACAGTTCCAGGGTACTGGATCCATCGAGAGAAAGCCCGGGCAATGTCGTCCAAGAGCCACGGCGGCCACAGAAGATCGCTATTTGTCCATTTTAGTGAGTCATAACAGAGGAGCTACAGCTTCTCGGCTCTCTCGGGACCTGTATGCAGCCACAGAACCCGTGTAACAAGGGTGACTGTTTCCAAAAGACTGAATGAGAGAGGGTTGTTTGCCTGACGACCGGCTGTTTGCGTCCCGCTCACGTCTACGGACAGAAGAGTCCGATTAGCATGGTGCGGGCAGCATAGTGACTGGAGTACGGAGCAATGGGCGACCGTTCTGTTCACCTACGAGTCCCGTTTTAGCCTAAACACCGATTCTCGCCGTACTTTCATATGCAGAGAGCCAGGCACCCGCTATCTACCCTTCAATGCCCGCGAAATCAACAATTATGGCTGTGGTGGTGTAATGGTCTGGGCAGGCATCATGTTGCATGGCTGCACACCTCTCCATGTCTTTGACAGAGGCTCTGTGACTGGTGTGAGGTATAGGAATAAGGTCTTGGAGCCCCATGTTCGCCTTTTCCGGGGTGCAGTGGGCCCCGAGTTCATCTTACAGGACGATAACGCGAGGCCACATAGAGCTCTTCTGGTCGACGAATTTCTCGAGAGTGAGGATATTCGCCGGATGGATTGGCCAGCCAGTATCTCGACCTCAAACCTATATGGCATGTCTGGGACGCTCTGGGGAGGGCAAATGCAACTCACAACCCCCCTTCGAGAACCATCCAGGAACTGAAAACTGCGTTGCTGAATTAGTGGGACCAATTGCCACAGGCACAGATAAACTGCCTTATTTCCAGTATGGCATCACGCTTCGAGGCATGTATGGCTGTACATACCCCGTATTAACCCATTTCTTTTGTGTCTTCTGCAACCGCTGTTTCAGACCTTCAGACTCCCATGAGTGTTACACACGAACAATGTGCGTCTATTATAATTATTGAATGTTTATTTTGTTTTTATTATATCAACCTATGCTCACACAAATTTTATTAAAATCTGTCCAGTAGTTCTGAAGATCGTAGATCAAATATGAAAATTCTCTTCTTTGCAGAGTGTATTTAGCCTTAGCTTAATTTTACACTTTCTGTTTTAAGTTGAAGTCAAAAGTGTTGGCTTCCTGTACGCCAAAGAGGGACCGTCTGCAAATATCTTGAGCTCAATTAAAAGTATTCTTCGGCAGGGGCGTAGCTAGAGGAGGTAAGGGGGACATCTGTCCCCTGGCGCAGAATCCAAGGGGCGCCAAACTGATGTTACGACATTTTAGAATTAAATGTTTTCCATCCTTGGCAAGCAGTAGGGGGTGGGGAATCTTCAGTTGTCCCTGGGAGCTGAAAACCCTAGCTACGACTCTGTTCTTCGGAGTTGTTATTTAGGCACAAGAACTTACGAATAGTCGCTACATAATTCTACTAAGTTCCGGCAGTTGAAGTACTTTATTTCAGCTAGAACATATATCACAATACAATATGATTATTACTAAATTCAATAAATATATGCAACATTCTAAAATTTTAATTCATTTGATAGCTACTCGCCTATTTAAAGTATTTTGATGACTTCACCAAATGATGTAGGATTATACGATATGCTTATTTAACTTATTTGTTAATTTGGGCATTCTATTATAACGATGAAGGCTTTAAAAATGTCAAAGACGTAACATTCTATTAAAGCAAAAATTCAGATTTCTGCAGTTTAAGCTGCATTCGTAGAGATAAGTCATTTCTGATTCTGATAAATTTTGCACGATAAAGCTAAATGAATAGTTTTCCAATTCACTTTTAGATAATTCCAGATGAAACTTTGCTTAAGTTGGAAATTCCGAAATTAAGCTGCGTTATTAAATGTAATTTAAATTTTTATTTTTATTTAAAAGAATTACGAAATACTTTGTACAGTATCTGAATAAATACAAACGTTTCTCATCATTCTTCACTTAACGTCAAAGAAAAACACAAAATGGCGACTTTCTGTCAGGCTTTATCAGAAAAACAACTTATATTTTCTTGCTAGCGCTGCAATAAAGTATATAAATAGTTGTGATAACAGGTGATTCACACTTACCCACAAAGCTGCCTAGTATGAGACATAAGCTGAAGATACACATCTCTGGAACAACAGCTCCTGTTTCACTGCATGCAAAAACAAACTAAGCGTCAAACACTTTACGATAAATTCAATTGTAAATTAGAAATAGCATTATTAGTATTGAAACAAACTCGTATATTAAAAGCCAGATCATTTATTTTACAAAACATATTCCAACTCAATATACACATTTATCACTAATTAATACAAGTGTATAAATGACAAAGTGAAATCATTAAGAAAAACTGTAAAATGCAATAAAGTATCTACGAAATATCACGAAGAAATACACATATAAAATAAAATATTAATTTTTATCTGTAGTAGTCCCCAAAGTTCCCTTTTTAATTTGATTATTTCCCTTTTCTATCCTAAAAATAGTAAGTTTATAGCGAGCATACAGTTCTCATGTAACGCAAGTGTCGCACTTGTTTCCATAACAATAAAAGTGAAACTGGGAGTAATTTATTCAATTACACTAAAACCGAAACTTTTATTAATATTGCGCTATCCCTTCATTGAAAACTAAAGCAAGCTCACTCTTTTAAAACTAATATAAGTAAAACAATTTTCCTTTTTTTTAATCCCAAATTGCAAGGCAATAAATATCTGAAATCTATGCTTAAAATTCGTGAACAGCGAGTGCTTCCGTCGCGACGCTTACAATTTTTTATTACGATCCTTATTCTACATATTATGCCCATATGAAGATTATAGGGCCCTAAGTCGTGTAATACTAATTTTCTTTTGATCCTACTAGACTCGCTCCGTCTGTAAAAATCCGCTACTCTGCGGGTATTAAATAAAAGAAAACTTGAAAAAACAATTTAAAACGAATTCGTAGCCTGGGGCTACACTTTGTCTAATAAGCATTGGCTCAAAACGTGTAATGGCCGGAATACTAACTGGCAGAGCTTGGCTGGAAAAAGTAAAGCTGCGAGCGTCGCTCTATATCTCTAAAACTTTCAAAACCCTTGCCTTAATTAGACCTAATAAATTTGTATCCTGCTAAAAAAAAGGAGAAGTTATATTACAGATCCAAATAGAAAAGAGTTAATTCACTTAAAATACCATATAAGATGATCTGGAAAGCCTATGACTGACAATGACTATGATTAACAATAATTGATGGAAAAAATCATCGTCTTCACCATACTCCGCTAATTTTTATCAGAAGTACATATATATATTTTAATAACATGACTTTAACTACATTGTTATTCAAATCCTTGATATTGTTATTAAAACTCATGACAGATTATTTCAAGAATCGCTGTTCATGCTTAATGAAAACGCTTTACTCATATGGGCTCAACACATACTATATTCCGCTTCACAAAGGTACTACACACTCCTCAACTCATTATATATATATATCAAAGATTGAATTAATTGAAATACATTCAGTGCATCTCACTGGGAAACATCGATCAATACTGGTATGGAGATAAAACAGAGAGATCCTTGCGCGCTTTGCCTAAATTAAATAATCCATTTCAACGCAATCCGTTATTTGGATGCAATCCAGTTAGAGATGCATTAAAGGGGGGTATTTATGAAAACAATCAGAGATGGCTCAAAAAGTTCGTTTTAAAATCCGTTTTGCCCATTCTTAGCTGGAATATATGGCATAAGTCAGCATCTGATTTTAATCTGTCTAACAACAAATTTTAGATTAGAAAGCTTTAGTTAGATGACGCTTCGTTATATTAGAAGAAGGGAAAAATAGAATGAAGCATTTTGTGTTAATTGGTCTCGCCAATTTTGCATGCATTCGAAGCGGCATATTAATACCCACAATAGTTTTCGTCTTGATAACAGATTGTCAATTTTACATTGGAACCTCAGGTGTGAGATTATGAGCAAATGTTACCGAATGAATAATAATTAAATTTGACAAATACAACGCTTTAATGAAATTATAGTACAGGTAATATTAAAATCATTGAGAGCTTGAATTTCTTGTTTTTAACTGTCGCTCATAGTTGGATGTTTGATAATAAGCTAAGCACAAGTCATAAGCAAAGATACGAAATGCGTTTTGATCTCAAATGTTTTTTGAGCCTTGCTTATTACCAAACCAAAGGTTTGGTTTGGTTTATTTGATCAAGGCAAAGTGCTATCTACCTAAGTGGAGGGATGCTTTGGTAGATAACTTTTTAAGGAAAACTGTAGCATTATTTAACTGTTATTGTAAAGATATTTAACAATGTTTAAATTTTAAAAAAATACACCCTCAGTTTCGAATTTAGAAAAGTATTTAGAGAAGTTCCTTTCTAAATATTTCGAGTGTTATATTAAACTGCCCAACGCAATGCCATTTATCATCTATGCTATTTAGCAAGTGTTGCCATTCCGCGAAACATAAGATTTTCAATTTATCTTTCATATGGCCTGACAAGTAGCAAGTTCTTTTTCGAAGTCGTACAAGACCATTAATTTGTCTTCCGAATTACGATGATACTGATTATCACACTGAACAATTTAAAAGCAATAAAAACAGTCATTTATAGTTCGTATTTTTATTTGATTTTTTTAAGTAACATGCATAACTGACGTAGTTTAAAATACCTTTAATTTATTATATATCCAGTTGAGAATTTTTATGAATATTTGCCGCATTGTTTTAATGAATAAAATGTGTTCCTAAAGCCCCATTTTCTTAACGCGTACGTTTTCGGGTACATAACCGTTTAGTTTAATCTGTAAGAACCAATAAAATGATTGTACAGAAAAAAAATTTTTTTTTCCTTCCAGTTTCATAAACGGTGGGATTTTAAGTTCAGATTTCAGTGACCTACATAAAAAAGGGGGGTGTAAAAATAAATATAAATTAAAAAAAAAAAAAAAAGGTTGGAAAGTCTGAAAGAGTTCAGATTTTAACGATCGCCCAAAAAGATGGCTCAGGTGGAATAGCGAAACATTTTACAGGATACTAGATGAATATGCATGGGTATATAAAAAAAAGTGAAAAAACCAATGCAACGAAATTCCATAAAAATATTTCAGGTTTTAAAATAAATATATCACGAATTAAATGCATTTTTATTATATCAATCAGATTAAAAATTTTAAAAATAATATTTTTACGAGCTGCATCTATTGCTTTTAAATAATTTAGTTTATTAATTAAACACAGACAGAATAAATATGAAAGAATAATATTTTACGTTTCTCCGAATGGCGACAGTCTCGAAAGAAAAGTGAAACAACGCAAAATCATGTTTCGATACTAATAGCCCTTTTGTGCTAATTATGTGTGTGTACTCACGCACACTATGTATGTGTGTGTGAGTGTGTAGCAATAAATGTTAAATAATATGACGCAGATGATAATGATCATAACGCTGGTGATTTTTTCTTAAATAACAATACGATGTCATATACTGCTTTTCATTTGCTTTATTTCATACATAGCATAACTTTGATTCTGGCATAAAAATTATGTTGCTACATGACACACTTTTTGATGTAGATGCTGTAGCTGTGCATTTGATACAATTCAAACACAGTAAAGCATAACATATAAGTCTGTAATAATGGGAGCATATAGTGAGACGCGCGTCGGTTACTTAAATATTACCAGCTTCGCATCATTAACCGGTTAAAAAAAACACAAGCTTAACAGGCGATGGCAAGCTTTAGAAGTAGTAAACAATTTTTTAGAAATTTTGCAAGAGAATACAGGTTTCTTACTATTTCTCACTAGAAATTGTTATTAGCGAAATATGTTATAAATTTTTAATGATGCCAGCGTATATGGGACTGGATCGAACTTCTTGCCACTATTGCCAAGAATTTCCATATATTTGTAACGAGTAAAAAGCTAAATGCCAAGGACAGCAGCTAGAAATGCTTTTATTAGTTTAAGCATTTTCTTAAAGAAGTCACATATTCATGAATGCATGCTGAATTTTAGTTGAAATAAAACTCAGCATGGTATACGAGAAAATCAGATAACAATTAAAAAAATCGTAATTAAGAATGATAAGGGATCTAAAACTAAAATTAAATTTTATCCTACTTAATTTTAAAATATAAAAATAATACAAATACTTCCTTTCTCTACTTAAATTTAAAAATATGTATTGTTTGTAGTTAATTAAACTAAATCTTTACTACTGAACAAAATTAAAACTCATCTAAAAAGGAGTTTCAAACTTAAAAGCTCCAGCACATTGTTGATTTCTTTTCTGAACATAAAATGCTATAAAAAGAAACGTACAAAATATAACAACACTACTTTACCTAATTAATTAATTTATGATAGTAAAAAATGATAACTAATAAATAAGTTGGGAGAAAAAAAGAAAGAAAAACAAATATATGCACTTGTTTTATGTATAACTGCTACAAAATTTCATTACCACTATCAAATTTTATTTTTCATGCAAGCAATGAAGAATAGAGTAGAAATTCTTATATAGATGTATTTCAGGGCACAAGAAACATAATTTATACACCACAATTTGGGTATAGTTTAACAGCAGAACATATAAAACAAGTTTTAAGTAATTAACTTAGCTATTTCGACAAACAAAGTATTTTTATGATATGTAAGATAAATGAAAGATCTTATGTATCATCGACTGGCGACAACGTATATTTATTAAGAACAGGATTTTACAGCTAACTGGAAAAAAATATTCTCTTTTCGAAGTATTAAAAACGTAAAATAGGAAAAAAACATATGTGGTCAAAATCAATGGAAATTTTTCAGTTTTGGTGGTGTTTCATTAACGCACACTGATCTATTAATCCCCACCATTTTGCATGCAGTTAGAATAAGTAAAGTAAATGCAAGTAAACTTTATTCGGCGGCGAAAAATAATCAATACAGTGCATTTGCAAATATGTCTGGCATTCTTAAAATTTTGCCAATAAATACCAGTTTATGATTTTAATTCAATAAATGCATCGGTCAATGTACTTTTTCATCCTGAATCAATGTCAGACATTAATATAGCACTTACCTGATAAATGGGAGATAAGCCGACACATCCCCTTTGCTGTAAGCTACCACGAAACTAATGAGAGTTCCAATACTTAGTATACCAATATGTAGAATTGGTGGCCATGTCAAATTTTTCCAACATACGGTTGCATCCATTTTGTTTTTATCGAGAGCGACCTCTGTTTACTGTATGTACCTTTCAAAAATAATGTGGCTCAAGCAATTGATTTTACTTTTCCCTCTAAACATCCTTAGTCTTAATATAACCTAATAGCATCGCCAAATACGATACAATCTAGAAGTGTTTTTTTTTTTTTTTTTTCAGAAACTTGTATTGATAATAAACAGTTTAACTGACAAAAGATGGTCCAAGGTGAACTCGAGGAAAATGTGAAAACACGTGCTTGGAAAGTGAAAATCAAGAGGGAGGGAGCAAGCTTTTTTTGTCCTTGGCACAAACATCGCTTAGGGCTGTCTGTTTAAAGCAGGATTCGAAAGAGGCCATTAATACTGATTGTTGATTTTGAAGGTGGGGATTAAAAAAAGTTTAATTTCCTCCAATCTGTAAAATTTGTTTAATTCTAATGATTACTATCAATTCAGTACGGCAGTGATTTCCACTTATTTCGGTTATCTAAAGCTTAGCAAAGTTAGATAATCAAGTTAAAGGAAATAACAAGGATAATCAAGAAAGAAATGCCTACTATTGTAAAGTGCTGCCATCTATTGGCTATTCGGGAATACACACACTTTTGTTTCTTTCTTTTGTTGCTCTACTATTAAAGAACCTCTGTAAACCCAGCTAAACTCCCAGACTCAGATATTCGAAACTCCAGTTTGATCGCACTTTTTTTTTTTGATGTAAAATGAAATCTGTTGTTACCTGTTTTCCATTGTTTTTCATTGATTTAAAAGATTTCTTTCACTAAAATCAAATTTCCTACAAGCTAAAAATGTAGAAAGTTAATAACGTAAGTTACTTTGCCAGTTTTATAACTATTGTTATTATTATGTCAAAAAAGTAACTTCTGTGTTTTATTTTTAGAAGAATATCCACTGACGAACGTATTGTTTCAAGCAAATGAAAAATGATAGCTTACTTTAATTTTAATGACTTAAAAATTAAATTATACTACATTTAGTTTTACGGATTATGTAAATAAAATTTCAATTTACTGCTGTTTTATGTTAGCAGAAACAGAAATTCCTCTGGTGTTTAGGCAAATGAAAAATTTCTTTGCTCTAATCCAGTGGTGGCGAACCTTTTTGGAGGCGCGTGCCCAAAACCTCTTTGATTAAATCTTCATCGGAAGTGGTTTATCATGTTTTGCCAGGCACAGTAAAATCTGAGAGCTGGCCGTTGTTAGATGGTTTGTTTTAGAAAGATAATTGCAAAAACAACTTTCTGGTAATTATAATTCCTCAATTTCCCTTCAATAATCACCTTCCGCTCAGTTTCATCAAATTCAGCAACAATTTTGTGGTTGGTGTTGAAGTGCCGTCTGACACTAGGTGGGTGACACACAGAACTTTTTCCGCACTGAATGCATAATACTTTCCTATTGCTTTCAATAAATAACTCCAAATGATTCCGTCCAGGTCTTTTAAAATGATCGTCCACTATCATTGTTTAATTTTGACTTTTTTGCTGGAGTCATTTGTGAGGGTTCAAGACCTGAAGTATAGAAAATCTACTTAATAATGAAAGTATTAAAACTCACTGCCAGTTTGCAATAAATTTGAATTCGTTTAGCAAACATCAGCTGCTTCAACTTTGTCGTATTCTTTACCATTTAACAAGTAATGTGATTGGCCCAAACAATTGAAATGTCTTAAAATTGGATCAATAAATATGTATATCATTTCTACGGTGATATATAAAAAACTTATATCCAGGCTTAGGCCCTGTGCCAGTGGCATTATGCGATAAGTAAGTGAATCGTTCAAGAACAGACTAAAACATCTATTTAAATTACATAGTATCATTTAATTGTGATTATTGATTAAGGAAGCAATATTTTAGTCGTGTACGGCTGATGAGGCTCTGCGTGCCGACTGCTGCACGCGTGCTATAGGTTCGCCATCACTGCTCTAGTCTATACCCGACCTCCGCTCCCAAAAAAGAAAGGGAGGGAAGGTACTTTTTGTTGCGTTTCACGAAAATAAAACTATTGTTAGGTACGTATTTTCATTCCAGTTGCATCAAGGCAGGTTATATCTTCGTAATTGCCTTTTAAAATTTCTTAAAATTCTTCTTTTAAAAAACATTAAATTGTGTATAATGTATTCTCATTTAATTAATTTTATTTTAAATTAAAAATAGAATTTCTTTAATTATTATCACATATTCATTCAACCTTAGTTGACATCTCTTAATTGTGTTTAATTTTAAAATTTCTTAAATTTTATTCTTTTTAAAAAATAAATTTCTTTAATGTATTATCACACATTTAATTTATTCGTAAAAATAGAATAGAATTTTTTTATATTCCTATCATCTGCTTTTTGACAACAAAACCACTTTTTGACAAAAACCAAGAAATTATCAACTATTAATTATTATTAAATATTTAATGATTATTGTTTCGTTTTTGCTTTAATTTGCTTTTATCCCCAAATTTTGTTCTCCAAGTTTTTGCTTCACACTGTTTTTCATTTGTGCTGTCCTGTTATATGGTTTGTCACTCTTGGTTTATATTAAATTTACATATTTTATCACTTTTTTAATTAATTAATTTCTCAACATTCTGCACAATATTTATAGTATTAATTCATTGAAAAAATTATTAATTAATTAAATTTCTGAATTCTTCTGACAGTAACAGATTTACTAATATGAGTTATATACAAAAATTAAGGAATGTTTCAATAGATAAGTTGAAACAGGTAAAGTGATGACTTGAACAGTAGTAAATCTATTCTTATAATTAATCAACACATGACATTATATATCATCAGCTCATTTAGTACTGAGAGAGGCTCATTAGTATATCTGTTTAGGAAGCGATTAGGCTGCAGTTTGCATTTTTCAGCAGTATAAGGAAGGCCTAATGGTCTGGCTCAACGAAACGCTTTGATCTGGCTGAACGAAACACTTGAAAGGTAAACTATACGTCATTAGATAGGCCATTAAGAAGCTATTATATGATCCTTATTTGGTTGTAATCGTTTGTGATAAAGCTTATTTCACAGTGATAATTAATGTTATCACTGTGAAGAGTTAGCAGTATCATTACTGCAATCGTTTGATGATAAAGCTTCTTTGACAGTGATTATTAACGTTATCACTGTGAAAAGTTAGCAGTGTCGTTACTGAGGTAAAATAGAAATTAAATGTATTCAAAAATTATTTAAGAACACACCAAATCGAAGGCGTGTTTATTATTTAACAATACACCAGATCGTAGGTGTATTGTTATTAATGAATGGAAGGTAATATTAATTATTTAACATATACACCCACTTATTTATTGTAAGTCAAATGTTTGAACAATTAATTACTAAATTTGAGAAAATCAGGTTAGTTACCTGATTTTCTCAAATTGTATAAAAAATGTAGACGTAATTGTAATTCTTTTGCAATCATTTGTACTGAAACCGTATATTTATGTTCTTGTGTACGTAAAATCTGCCACACCCTGTGGTGCACATTGGGCAACTTTTGGTGATGAGACGGCTAAATGACAAATGGGTACTGCCCAGTACCCACGAATGCATTAAGTTGAGAGTCCAACAATTTGAAAACAACAACCTATATTATTATGCTCCTTATTTTACTAAAGATACTAATAATCCCCGGATCTTTCAAAGAAAGAGTGATTATTAACAATCTGCGACTATAAAATATAAATGCAATAATTTTTAATGCTTTCAGTTTGATACTCGTCATTGCTCCTGCGTATAGCAGTAAATACTATTGCATCAGCGCGTTCGACAACTTAAATTATTTTAGATGCGTTGTGGTGTCAGTTTGATGTTAAAAGTTGTTAATACCTCCATAGTTGTTTCTATATTTGCGCTAATTTTACTTTACATATAATTGATGCTTTGGAAGATAATACACGATTGAACGATCATCTTAACATGCTGAAATAGGAGAAAAAAATAGGGGAGGGAAATCATCAGCAATTTACAAGAGAAGCATTTTAATCATTTTTGAAGAAAGTTTAAGAGAACAATGAGAAGATTTTCGGCAGATCACTAGAAGGCAACCAACGACTATCAAGATACAATGTTGTAAAAAGTGGTGAAAAACTCATAACACCAGTTAAATTTTAAAAAAATCGGAGGGGGGGAGTATATTCTATATATTTTTTAAAAGAATTTTCAATTAGTGTATCAGGTTCGTATTGTAAATGGACATTGAGAGCGAAACAGCGTGAAAAAGCTTAACGCAATGTATAAACAAGCGGTTCTCAACCTTTTAACTAACGCGTATCATCTAAACAAAAATTGAAAAACTTTAGTACCACAAATACATTTTAGGAAGATTATTTTACAGTTTCTCAATGGAAATATTAAAAAAACATATTTTGCCATTTGCACAACCTATTGGTTATTTGCATTAAATATGCATACATAAAAATATTAGATTAAAAATTTGGTTACCATTTTAATTATCAGAATTTAAGTTATAAAATTACTTTAATTACTTATTTCGGACCATTCAAAAGTTAACAAGTGTATTATTTTTGAAACCTTCAGTTAGAGTTCGGTCACGGGAAATTTCTGCCAGTTGCCTTTTCCTTCACCAGAAGAAATTTCAGGTACATTTGAACAAAATGGATTTCTAATCCAATCTTAATTTCAGGGTCCTCGGGAAAATACATCTTGAAATTTTTTAATGTCGGATGCTGATTCTCCTTTTACTTTCAAATTATTTTCGGTTAGAAAATCTTCTAAAAGCGGTAAAAAGCTTAAATATAATTATCCAATTCTTTGATTATTAGCTCGAGTGTTTTTTAGCATTGAATTTATTTTATCTGTAATGGTAAACAAATTAAAACTCTGTCCTTGTAATCCTAAATTTGATTCGACTTTACAAAAATATCAGCTAAATATGCTAAACGCGCAAACCATAATTCACTAACTAAATATTTTTGCAATTCAAATTTTTGAATCAAAGAGGAAAATTTGAGTTTCTGATCAAAGATCGAAAAGACGATTTAAAACTTTGCCTGTGGATGACCCCCTTACTTCGGAATGTAACAAAGGCGTTTCATGTTCACTGCCCATCTCTTGGCATAAAATCGTAAATATTCTTGAATTTAAAACTCGGCTTTTAATAAAATTAACGATTTTCAGAGTTTGATTCAAAACGATTTTCAGGTTTTCGGGCATTGTTTTGGCTAGTAAAGCTTTATGATGAATGGAGCAGTGAGTAAATTTTGTTTCGGGTGCGAATTTCTTTATTTGAAACATAACACCTGATTGTTTTTCTGTTAAAATCCCGAGCTCCGTCACTGCATACGACAATGCACTTAAACAAAGGAATATAATTCTCAGACACAGAATTGTCAATTACGTTGAAAATTTCATTTGCAGTTGCTCTATCACGAAGAGATTCACAAAATAAATTCTCTTCGGCAATTTATATCCTTCGAAACGTTTTTAACCTAATAACTGAACAGAGTTCGTTGTATGTATACTTTCATCCAACTGCAATGCAAAATACTCATTGTGTTTTATTTTTTGAATAGTTTTTGTGGAATCTTTTGTGGAATTTTGAATAATCTTTTGTGGAATTTGTCATTTCATGAATTCGTCGACTTACAGTATCATTTGATAACGAAATATTATTAAGCTCACTGGCCGATGTTTCATTCAGTGATGTTAAAACGATCTGCTTTAGCTTTAGTTAAGCTTTAGCTGCGGGTAATATAAGGTTTTCTCAAATAGTGTGAGCCTGCCCAGTCTTAACAATTCTTAGGCTTACTAGGTAACTAGCTTCCAAAGCTTTTTCGCTTGAAGTAACAAAACCTTTCATTCCATGTTTACTATTTTTGAACTTTCATAATTTTCTCTTAAAATATTCTTCAGATTTATCCTTTAAACTGGCGGGTTTGGATTAAAGACGTCTTTTAAGAAAGGATGGTTTCATACTCTGATTGGATAATAGTTCATCGCAAGCAGCACACTGAGGCTGAGGGTCCATTTCATCTCTATTCCAAGTAAACTCAAATGATAAAAAACTTTCATTATATTTTCTATAAACAATTTTTCTTTCCTGTCCAATATCCCTAGTGCTAGTAGATTGTCCGTCCTGGATCCATCACCTGTGAATCATCACATTTCCACGTAGTCAATCCAATTCAGATCATTCTGTTTGGAATAAACAGTCACAATCTTAGAGCATCTTTTAAAAGGTCATGAAGGATTTATTTTATTCTTATCTTGTAGCAATTAAAAAAATTATTTTTCAATTTTTACAGTTCTGTTCTCCATCTGACACCGATTTTTTATTAATATTTGTTTTTCTTCGCTAATAAAAGACAGTAAATTGTATGATCATATCACCTTGCTTATTTTGTAAATTATTCAAAGTTTAAATTTTTTTAAATTAATTTCCTTAACTTTTTCCCAGTTTTCTACTACTTCATATTCAACAATATGACCCTAGATTTGTAGCAAAACACAGATCAAATGTCTCAGTGATATAAATTAACTTCTGTCATTTCTGATGAAGTAAAGTAACAGTTCTCCATTTATAAATTTTACTTTGTAATGTTCTTCACTACTTCGTCTATGTTAAAATGTCAAGGAACCTAGTGAACTAAGTAGTGAATTGTCGCTGAGTTCAACTAATTACGACAAATTCCCGAGAAGGGTTAAAATACCCTTTTATTCACTCAAAAAAATAATAACAGGTGGCCCCTTCTCGGGCTTTAAAATCAAGATAAGAAAATAAGATAAGAAAATAAGAACGAATCTAATACTAAACTAAATAAACTTAGCTGAAGCTATACACAAATACCTAATGTAGTAGGCCCTTAATTTAACCTAGCCGGCGATTATCAACAGGCACGTACAATAAGGCCGAGCGTAGTAGATTCAAGAATAGATTCAAGAACGCAGCAGCCAGAAAGCAAAAACACGCCACCAAGGACCCCTAAGCGCTCTCCAGACGCGTAGCTAGGTTTTTCAGCGCCCGGGGACAGCTGAAGATCTTGCACCCCTTTCTGTGTGCCCAGAATGAAAAAAGTTTCATTCTAAAATTTCATAACATTAATTAGGCGCCCCTGGATGCTGCGCCCGGGGACAGATGCCCCTCCTTGCCGCCACTGGCGCTCTCTCTCGAAGTAAGTGGAACTTTCCTTAAAAACTCCTTCTAACTCATTTGCATAAAATGCGATATTAAAAACTCATTCTGGTACGGAATAGTAGATGGGAAACGAGAATAGACAGTAAAGGATGTTTAAACTTAAAATAACTGTTAGAAATTTAACGTAACCCGCACAACTTTTACAACAAACTTCTTGCATTCTTTTTCTTTCTTCTTTCTGATTACACTCATGAATCTTCTCGTTCTTATTTTTACTTGTGATAGTTCCCCATTCACATAAGAATATCATATTGGCTACTATACACTTATTTATTTTTTACCATCTTATTCAAAATTTATTAATCTATAACATGGCAGGCCGAGAACAGACGCAAGGAACACCTTAACCCTCTATTATTGAGTATATGTAGTCCCAAAGTGTCATCATTACTAATAAATATTTTTCTTTACACTATTAAGAATTAAGATATAAGCAATGTAATTGCACATTACTTTGTGCAATTACATTGCTTACATCGCCCAAACGAATACTTCCCACTGTTGCAGCGACACTCTGGACCCACTACTGCAGTGCAGATTCTCACGCAATGTTCAAAGATTTCCAGGGCTCTTCGAAATCCTAAAATATATCCGGCTCTCCACTTGCCACTATTAAACTCTTAACACTCACTTTACTTCGAGGAAAACAGTCATAATTATAATCATTATTCATTTCATTGAGATAGTCAAAATCTGAACGCCTGTTTGGTATGAAAACTAAATTTAGCAATCTTAAGAAGTTTATGGAAACATTAAGGAACCAAGTTCTTGTGTATTTTAATTAACACAAATTTTAAAGCCACCTAACTCACACGCATACATGAAATTTGAGGGATCTTGTTCTCTTCATTCCTTTACACATTGATTAGTAGAATTTACGGCAAACCTTCATTCACTTTGAAGAGTACATTGAATTACGTACTTCATTTTTAACCAAGTTGCATGCTTACGGTGATCTACTAATGCTCAAATGGCTTCAAATTAGAGGTTCTCAGGCACAGAATGCCTTGTATTTATCCCTCACCTTTTTATAAAACTGACTTTCATACTGCTACGTTAACCGTTGTTTCAGTTATTGCGTTCTGTCGGAAATGTGATATAACTGTTCAACGAGACTTTATAGCTATCTCATTTGTTTGCAATTGTTTTTATAAACTAAATGGGACTGATTCATCCATAAAAAAGAAAGTGGTAACTTCCCATACCAGCTGGCCTGCCGATACGGCAGCTAGCTTGGCTAATCACTATACAGATCAAAGCGGAGCTCAAAGTATCAAATTTCATAACAAAAGTGAAAGAATTTGACATTAATTGTGATGACATTACTCATTTTAAACTTAAGTGGTAATCATTACTAAGTCTCTTATATTCACGAATTCGGATATTAGATTTACAATAAACAGGGGCTGGTTGTACATTTGATAGCATCATCTAAATGAGTAGTGCTTTGTTGTAAAAAATAAGTGGAGAAAATAGAAGGAGAATAAAACAGTTTTATTAACAAGAAAACAATTATTTACAAAAAAGTACACCTTTGTGTACACAGTATATAAAATAATGTGGACTTTCGTTTCGAACAGCATATCATACATTTGCAGAGATGTCCAAGCATGAAAATAGCTTAGGATATAATACAAACAAATATTTTCAGAAGACAATGCAATGAAGCGTTTGCACTATACAGTTAAATCAGATTGGATGTATATATCTATACGAGCATGTATGTTAAAAAATTTTGTATTTTAAATAGGATTTATCAGATATCTGTATGTGCTTACATTAAAAAATGAAAATCTGCTCTTTCCACATTACGTAGATTTTATGCATATAGATATATTAATGGAAATTAAGACACAACAATTTATTCTAGGAAAACTTTTGAGTTCCAGAGATCAAGAACACGAAAATGCTTATACCTTTTAATACCGGTGAGGTTTTCATAAACTATTAGCACAAAGAAAATTTATGAGTAAAAACTAAAAGGAGGAACTATAAATGATTTTGAATTATGAATTATGACATTGAATATTATATTATGATTTTGAACTATGAATGAAAATTTGCATAAAATTTTTCTAGGGAGAGAAAAAATAATGAACAATTGAAATTATTTGCACCTACTAAAATTGAGCAGAAACTCAAATAAATAATTCGCTTGATAGGTGTTTTTACATTATGACGACTAAACCAGTATGTATTACATAAATATCATCAAACTTCGATAAAAAAACAAGTATCAAATACAAAAACGGTGTGAGAAATGGTGTGAAAAGATTGAACATTTGTTTTGTTTCATAGTAATGACTAGAAAAACATTCCAAAGTGATTCATTTGCTCAAAGACAAAAGATGAGATCATTAGTCAATAACATACATATTCTGTTCTAAAACTGAACCTTCCACATTAATGCACTAACATTAAAATAGTTACACTGCGGAACGGGCAAATTTCACCCAATAAAATTGACTTTCATTTCAGGTATTCCAGTTTAACATATTTCTGCAGTAGTGCTATTTTATACATTTACGATGAGACAAGAATTAAATAACATACATTCGAAGAAGGTGGACGGAAAAAAACTTCAAAATAATTTCTTTGAATATTTGAAAGAAAATGCAGAGTTCGTTGCAGAAATTTCATAAGAGATCCATTTCGTTTCATTGGCCAGATGTATATTTTAAAGATGGCAGTATTTATTTCCCACAAGTAAAAACTTGCGAAAAATTTGCAGCCATAGAATAGCTGCTCATGTTCGTAATAGTTTGAGCAATTCATAACCAGAATTGCGTAAACGAATCAAATCTTACTCATGTTAGTTAAAGAGGCAATGGAAATTCGTCTTCCTGTGATAAGATGTCGAAAGGTAATGACCACAGAGATCTTCTGACTTTCTTTCACAAATGTTAAAAAGTAAACAGCAAAAAAGAATACCATCATCCATTCGCATACGCTTCTTACCACGCTGGGTTCCTGCAATCAAAAAAGCATTTTTAAATCAGTTACAATTACATAGTAGCATTTTTATCCTTTTAAAGGCAACTTTATTCTTGCTGAACTTTCAATTAATTATTGAAAAATGAAAAAGTCAATATACAAGTAACAACCAATACACAGAGGGATCGTAAAGGGCAGCTACATATTCTGTTGCAATTTCATTTAGCATATTACTTTCAGTTGCTAATTAAGGTAAGGAACTTCAGGAGAATAGTTTCAGTACTCGGGGTAAAATGTTTTTGAAATCAGAAAATTTAACCGCGTTTTATGATCCCGTTGCGCAAAATCCCGATTAGAAAAGTGTTCTTTGTGATTTAACTGAGTCATATAACCTATTTTTACAAATTTTTTTTTTTTTTTTTTTTTTTTTTATTATTTAGCAAAATTCGTTGAGATAATCGTAATTAGTATTTTCTAGGGATCAGATGCAAAGCGAAAGTTGTTACTCAGAATAACAGAAGAAACTTTAATCATCAAACGAGCCACTTTTATTTTGCAGTTGCTCCCTAAAGATTACTTAAGTTTATTTACGGAGTTTACTTAGGGAACATTTTTAGACGAATATTCAATTTTGGTCGAAAATAGGCTTTGAAGAGATGCAAGCCAGAAGATTTCTAATACTTACAAAAATAACGTAAGTATGAAACTTTTTATATTTAATTAACTGAAACATAACAGACATTTTTGAGCGGGCTTTTTACTGTACAAGAAGCATATAAAAATTGCATTTTTCATTTCCAGATCAATCCTACCCTTAGTGCTGCAACTATTCTCCAAAAATTCTCCACCATTAAATTTTGTAGCAAGAATTAGACGCCTGTGGTTACTTTTTCCGAAAATCATGCATAGCAAGCATATTAAACTCAATACCTCAAGTAGGCCAAATAGTCATCAGTATACAGTAGTGCGGGCCGCAAAGGGGGTAAGCCATTTTCATACTTAGTGATGCATTTAAAAAAGAGAGAATGCATAAAACTGTACCTAATACTGTAATTCCTTAAAAACCAGAAGGAATATAAGGAAATCTTGGTTGTAAATCGATACCTATTATTTCTTTCTCAACAACCTGGCTTTTTTTTTTTTTTTTTTTTTTTTTTTTTTTTTTTTTTAATACCAGCTTTCGAATGTTTGAAGACTGCTGCTCGCACAAGCGATTTTCAGAACAAAGATCAGACCTATTAACCTGTCTGGAGCTTGTTCCTATCGGTAAGTGAGAAAAGTTATTCTCACTGATACATACTAACGAAGAGAAGGACAGTTAAATTCGGGAATGCCCATTTCACTGAATTTAAAAAAAAATATTTTTTCGGCATAGTTCAGTCGCATTGAATTTCTGTTAATTCTATCTGCAAATAGGCTAACGCATTCTCAACGTCGGTTGATACAATATTTTTGTAAATAGACCATTTTATCACCCGTGGTTTTATATACTCCTTGATATTAGGCAGAATTCCATTTCTTATTAATATATTTAAATTATATATTTTATGCTATTTTCCCATGGTGAACTGAGGGAGGCAGAAAAATGAATCAAGGTCCGCTAGTTTGACATGCCTGTTGTATAATGTGAGTGAAATACTCGATATCTAAAATACGTAAATGCTCTCTCTACTTTTTCTTATTATTCAGTTCCGTAAAGCAAAATTATAGTTACTTTGTGTACAATTATTTAGATTATATACTTTGCATGCTGCTGTGTTACTGCTATCAGTATATGTAGGGAGCAAAATCACCTGCGCGTCGTAACGCAAATTTCACAAAAGTGAGCGGAAGTTCGCGCATCGCCCAGTTCATTGGTGATTATGTTTTACTACTGCGCAGAAAACAACGCACGCAAAAACGTGCAAGTCCGTGGTTTAAATGCTTACGGAAAAGCAGTCCGGAAAATTCTTCTAAATTAGTACTCCGTAACAGGAAAAATCTGAATGTGTTCATTGAAGGTTTCTAATATTCTAAAAGCAAGCGAGTTTAATGTTTTAATACATTATTATTTCACATTCTTATGAAGTTCTTTTTAGAATTTTGTAAGACATTAACTATATTCTTTTAACCTCTATTTAGCCAAACAAGCGTGCAAATATCATTAACGGCATTTTATAATGATAATGTAACAGCAGCGGATCACTAAATGGTGTAGCGTATTTTTCTTCAGATTTTCCTGGTGTAACTTCCACTTCTCATTTTAAATTTGGGGAAAATACGTTTGATGGCAGCTTTTAATAAGAAAGCGAGGTAATTTTATTTTCATTACGAATGAAAAAATGCCATGCCATTTGTATAACTCTGATGAATGATATTCTAAATAAATGTTGACATCATACTTTTTTACTCAATCTGCGTATCAATTACCACTCTAAGAACTGACCTAGAAAACGGCCAAAAGAATGAAACTTCAATAGAACCATTAAAAGATAACTTCGGATATCTATAATATATTGCATAGCCATCCATATTTTTGAAGCAATTCAATAACGTTATCTGGAAAAAAATAAAAAATCTAAAAGCTTTCATATTTTACAAACGGGCTCGCTGTATTGGCTGCATAGGCTTTCTTTAGATATGAAATAAAAATAGGAACTGGTTTCCATTGAAAAGTAGTCCACAAATACATCTTTCCTGAGGACTTCACATACGTTAACATGATCAATAAAATAATCAATCGACACAGAGATAATTATCATACAAATGACAGAACTTTAAGTAAAAATGTGGACTATAAGTATTAATGAAAAAGCAATTACGTAAACCCACTGTTCTTCTTTTACTCCTTTACGCGTAGATCTTTGCTTAGAAACAAGTTCCTAAATACAGACTAAACGCATAAAAAATAACTTCCGTATTTTATTAACTGCAGTTTAAATGACTCGTATCTTTAGAAAAAAAAAAAAAAGTTTAATTTTTGATGGAAAGCTAGGTTTCGTGATTTTAATAGATGCATGTTGCACCAAAAACAAAAACAAATAGAAGTCAAATACAGAAATTAAAGTGTTTTACTTTTTGCAATTGTATAAATTTTTGAATGATTAAGAAGTAAAATTCATTTTCTTGGCATAATAAGCACGCATTTAACCTATAGAAAAAAAGAAACTATTGAGATTTTTTCGAATATGACAGTTAGCCATTTAGTATGGTTCTTTACGTAGTACTACAGTGCATACATATCCCAGATACACTTACGTGTGATTTTATTACACTTATTATATCTATAGATGTAAATACCATGTACTAAAATTACAAACAATGAAAATGATCATTAGCGCACCTTTAGAGGCTTCGTAATGACATCCGCCTGCAAATAAATGTCCGCTGTCTGTTGGGCATTATCGCTGGAAATCGTACTCAAAGTAGCTAATTAAAAAGTTAAAGAAAATTGAAAGTATGATAAACACAAAACGTAATTTTATTTCAATACAGTTAAAAGAAATATTGAAAAAAATGTGGTTGTGTCAAGAAAGAACAATAAATTTGATTTCATTATAAAAGTATAACTGCTAATCATTATTAATGGAATCTTAATTGTGAAAAAGGAATTAGTTTGAAGTTTAATAACTAATATACTTTCTCATCTACAGAATATATTTAATGATATGCTTTTAAAGCTCAACTTTGCCCGATTTCGTTTCGGATGAACGATAAAAATAATGAAAATAAAATATGCTGGAAAACAAAATACTTTGATCTTGTGAAACCTTGATTTTAGTAAGATGAATGCTGTAAAAGCTTTTTTAATTATGAAAAAATATTTATAATTAAATTTTTACAAGGATATAAACAATTTAATATATTTTAATTTGGCACTATGAGCAATTCATAAAGAGTATTCAAATAAGAACAGGCATCATTAATTATGATGGAAATTAACTTAAGTTTGGGGAATTTGTGTCACTAAATTTTACAAACAGTTACATTTTGAGCTAGATCCTATCCTATTAATCCTTGGCTCACGTCACAATTTTCACTCAGACCGGAGAATTATGCAGATTTAAAGCTATGCTGCATAGTTTAAAAGGAGTTTACGCTTATAAGTGGCCTATTAGAGCGTTGGTGTCATTGCTAATGTGTAACTGAGAAATAATTCCTAGTAAATCGAGAAACTAAAATACTAAATAACTACTCATTCTTACTAATGGCCATAAACTGAACAGTAGCTATGTTTCTGGTGCTCTACTTCAGCTTTTAGTTGTCGTGTAGACTGAGCAGGTGCTCAGCTTTGAATTAGAATTTTGTTTTACAAGTATCTGAACTTAAGATACAGAACAAGCAGCCTTATCTTTTAATACTTTTATACGATGAATTATCGGTTCAGTTTAAATAGTAATTCTTAATTATAAAACACCAGGAGTAGTTTTATTAATTTTATTTGGATTTTGATTTCTGTACTTGTGTTTGCAATAAAATAATCGTTAAGGAGAATGATACACCGAAAGGTGGAAATAGCATTGTGCATTATTTCCCCACATATACTTACTCCCACCACAGAGTTACTCCCACCCACAGAGTTATAGTTTCATGTTAATAAAAATTAGCATAATAAAAATTAGCATGTTAATAAAAATCATGTTAATAAAAATTAAATCTACGAAGACATCACATTCGAAAAAATTCTTGAAGTCTATCGAATACATAAGATTCGCATTTAATGGAAAGAAGACCTTCATAATTTCGTACACATATTTAAGTCAATAAAGAGATTAACTACCTCCTAAATAGAATGTACAACTAGTGTCATTAACTAATTACTCACTAATGGTAATACAAAAATTATGGGTAGGGACAGGGAATTTTTAATTGCTGTTATTCATTAAAAGAAGTTAAATGTTTGTTGTTCAATAAGTAAGTTTAGCAGGAATAAGTATACATTAACGCCTACAAGCTGAGTCTGGACGCTCATTTTTTCTTTCGTTAAAACAAGTTCAAATTATGTTGGTTCCTTCCAATCCATCAATGACATGATTTAACGTGAACTTCGCAACCTTTTGGCACAATCATAGAAGACATCATCCAAAATCCTCGAAGGGTATCTTGGTCAAGGACAGATTGCAACCTTTTGGCACACTCATAGAAGACATCATCCAGAAACCTCGAAGGGTATCTTGGTCAAGGACAGATTGCATGTGTTGGTGTGCTGACTAGAGTTACAGAAAATCTGTCCTCCCGCTCCTTTTTGAAATAGGGCTGTATTATGTTTATTAAAAAAACAGCAATAATTTATATATGTGGAAAAATTGGTACCTATTAATCATTCACCGATTCTTGCATCACATTTTCATCTTTGAGTATGAAAGTTTAATTTCTCAATTGGAAATTTAAAAAATACTAACACATGTTTTCTGTGTGTTAAATATACGCTTAATATAAATAGAAAATCTTAGGAAAAGATTGACAGAAAAGTTACTGGTAATTGAAAGTGTGATTAAGCAGGAAAGATAGGAGATTTTCAGAATTTTAATTTAAATTAAACAACATTTTAGACTGTACATCCTTTGACAAAGGTACTTAAGTTATATTGAAAAATTTTAGAAAAAAAGCTTCATAGTAAATTGTGAAAGAAAAGCTATTAAAAGTGGTCTTAAATTTATTTGTTTTATAGTTTTCATGTTAGTTCAAAAACCGAAAGTGAATGATTATCTAACATGAGACTGATAAAATTTTCCGAGAATTAAAATTTGTCGATATATTAAAAATTTACTTGACAACAGACGCTGAACCTATAGAAATTAAATAATTAATGATGTACATTACCGTTAAATTCTTTTATAACTGCCCCACATTCGCTTTCGTTTGACATTTATAAAAGACATTTTAAAATAAAATATACTAATTTGACAAAAAGATCAGACAATTCATAAAATGATATCTTTCACCCATTTCTTGTAAGAAGCTAAATGACAACTTTATTTCGGGCTTCTGAATAGTACTTTGAAGTTATTTCGTAATATTCATGTAATACCACTGCATAAATAACGCTTACTTTAATTCACTAAATGAAAGTAATCTAATAAAGGTATCGAAACCTAATTTATATTAATCTTTTGATGGTCATCAACGAGCTCAGCACACATTCCAGTTACGCACCGCAGTGGGAGCATACGAACACAACTCGGATTACAAATTTACGACTAACAGATATCGCACGTATTTGTGAAGAAAGAATTGTTTAATCTCGCAACAGCCGATGAGTTAAAAGGATACAAGCCACAAAGCAGACAGCGCACAACAAGAAGAGTGTGAATCGCAAGAGAACAAGACGTCCATTTCCTTCGTAGAAAAAAAGAGACAGGCAGGTTTGAAACAGCAGATACAAAGCTCCAAAGAAGAAGGCGAAGAATGCACCCATCATATGAGGCACAAACACGGATGATTCCTAGAATGAAACAATTTTCATATTACACACATTTTTGTTTGATTAAATAAATATGATTATAGTATTTTTTAACATCTAAATTTCCAAAAACATGTTTATTTCTCTGTAACATAGACCGTTAAGAAAAGGGATTACAATAATTTGAATAATTACACAGTTAAATTAAATAAAAAATGTATTTAAAAACATGTTCAAAGGTTTTTAGTTCAATACTAAAAACCACGTTCACAAATAATTTATTTATATTCACAGCACATAATTTTCGCACTTAATATAGTATATACATCTAAACTACTACCCAAATGCTGTGCCTAATGTTATGCATTATCATTTTATAAGGCCTAAACTTCACAAATTAGATCTCAGCTGTTTTTCTCATTCGGGCAAACTTTCGCTATTACATTAGATTTTACTACTTTACTACTTATATATACGTATATATATATAACACACACACACTTCCCTCCAAAAGTTAAGGAACAACATGTTTTGGGAGTCTGAGAATAAGGCAACATAGAAATAAGAAATTTAGCGGACATGTTCACTAAACAGTTCTTTAATGAATGTGACGTAGAATGCTTCTTATGATCAATATAAACATGAATTACAACAAAACATTGCACTCTTGGCAGAGAAATCCAGTCTTGGAAAAAACAGTATATCACAGTTTTTCGTGGAAAAATGGAGTGGTAACATTACAAAAATGGGTTCTAATAAGGAATGTGTTCACCCCTAGCTGCAGTACATTGGCGGCAGCGATGTTCCATGCTGCCAATTAAGTTGTCGGGCAGTGAAATGGGAAGCAACGACCAGACATAGAGTAACACTTTGTTCAAGCTCATCTAACACCTTGGAGGAGGATTCAAAGCAGCAACCTGTCTCCCAAGGTAGTCCCAAAGATGCTCTATTGGATTCATGTCTGAGGATTGAGCTGGCCATTCTACCCGCTCCGTAATGTGACTCTCAAGACATTCTTCATCAACCCGAGCGCGATGCGGTCGCGCATTGTTATCCATCAGAAGAAATCCAGGACCAATAGCATGGGCGGATATATTGATCGAGGATCTCGTCTCTATAGCTCACACCGGTCAAAGTTCTTTCATGGAACACACACAGGTCAGTGTAAGCAACGAGAGAGATCCCAGCTCAAACTATTTTTCCACCACCTCTGTACCTGTGTCATTTCACAATGTGAAATTGGTTGTATCTGATGCTCTGTTCTTTCCAGATCAGCTGACGACCTGAAATATTCTCCCATGTGACCTGGACTCTTCTGTGAAGAGAACAGAAGCTCATTGTTGAGCGGTCCAGACGTGTTCTCCTGCCCAACATAAACGGGCAGCTCTGTGTCCCCTCGGGGCAAGGGGACACAAACAACTGGTCGTCTAACATACAGGCTTGTATAGTGCAGGCGGTAGTAGCTGAGATTCCCGTTCTTGTGAACACTAAATGATCTGCTATGAGCTCAGGCACAGTAATGTCGCTTCTTCTTCGGGCAGAAAAGCTAAATAACGGTCTACCACAGGTGTTGTAACACTTAGTTTGCCTGGAACATATGTTCTTGACACAAAATCCTCGGATTCGAACTAATTCCATGGTCGTTGGACTACAGTGCGAGAGAGATTGACACATCTAGGAGCATCAGGCTTGTAATATTCCCATTTCTATCCATCAGATCGTCCGCTACCTCAACAAACCGGGCAAAAAACTTTTCCTAGATATTGTCAACGAAAGTACTAATAACAATTAACTATCAGCACTAGTGAACAAAACTTACAATCTTTGAATTTTTTCTCCAACTCTTACATAAGTATTGATTTCTATAAAACAAAAGTGCAAGCTATTGTTTTTGCATATATTTTCTTAAACTTTGTTACTATCATGCATATAATTTGTGAATTTAAATGTTACTGACATTTTTGTAATGATGAGCTTTGAGAAACATGCTCTTCCTTAACTTTTGGAGGGCAGTGTATACATATACGACCTTGAAGCGTCTATTTTAAAGTAACAGATCTTAGAATACCAACCAATACTCAAGAGTAGAAACTAATGAATTATTTATTGTTACAGCCAGGACCTGACTTATAAAACTGACAAACCGAGGCAAAATCTGTTACAGAGATCCACCCCATCTAGCTTTCCGACGTTGAACATGCCACTGATGCAATATTTTTTTCACATAAAATAAATTTCATATAAAGTATTTCGGAACATATTATAATAATTTCATATTTTTCATTCTACGTTATCTGAATGGAAACGTATATTTCACCTTTTTTGCCTTATTTAAGCCTTTTTTCACATTTTTTAATATATATTTCATCTTTTCACATTATTTAACCTTATATAAACAAAAAAAGTATATTTCACCTTTTTCGCCTTAGTTAACCCTTTTTTCACATTTTTTAATATATATTTCACCTTTTCACATTATTTAATCTTATATAAACAAAAAAAAAGTATATTTCACTCATTAGTATGTGATACATAAAATACAAGATCGTTTTCTTTTTCGCTGAAAGAAACTGAAAAATGGGACTAAGGAACTCTTACTGATTTTACCGTAAACCTTGCTTAAGTTACGGAGATACGAGCAAACTAATGCAATTAAATTTTTCATCAATTCAATAATCAAGTTTATGGTTAAAATGTAGAATTAAAAAATTAAGTCTTTTTCAGGCATGTAAGAAATCATTTATGTTGATGGGTTCTGCTCATAATTTCACATTTTTAAAACCTAGAATTGAAAAACGTACATGGAATTTTATGTATTTAAAATTGTTTAGAAGTATTTGGAAGCCTCATTGAAATGAAGGCCAGGGATGCGTACTCCGTCAGCCCCTGCAGAAATAAGGCCCTGTCTACAACTCACAAACTTCACAGAATTTATAAACAATAAAAATTATCTACCGCTGCTTATGGTAATTAATCTAATTATTTAAACTAAATAAAACATAAATTTCAACTATCTAACATAATATTTCAACAGAGTTCTTGACCGGTTAGCTTTTACCATTTAAACATTAATTCTTAATAAGTTATACAATCGCTCACGCAAACACATCAGAATAAATTTATAATTAGCTGTTTTGTTCCATAAAAATTTTACAATAAGAACCCGAGCTGTAACTCTTTGATTTACGTATTTACATCATGTATGTAGTATTACAGTACATACGCAGTTTTAGCAAATAAAATACTTTAGTGTGGTAAACCTTTGGTGGTCGCTGCGCTGCATATTTAATGATTTCGGACAAGTTAGAGTCTTTGACCCAGAAAATACTACACTATTTGTTATTATTTCGATTTGTCAATATCAATGTTTATTTATATTTTTATTTTAATAGGTGATCGTTTAAGAATTATTGTATTAGTTATCATAGTATGACATTAAAAGCTTGGCTACTCCATTAAAGATCATATATCGATCATTAAAATACGTGAGACGCCATTAAAATACTTCTGAAATCTATCTAACATTGAAAGCATATTTCTAAAAAATTTCAGCACACCATTGCAAGGAAACTTACGAACTGCCATTCTTCCGAGTATTTTCAACGTAGGATACTCGGCCAAGCCAGTTTTCTGCTACGATACCAAAGCCACCAAAATATGATCTCTTGGAAAACTGTCAGGAGATTTAAAAACACATAATGACAAAAATAGTTACAGGAGGAGGAAAAAAACACCCTAGAGACAGTACGGTACGTGCTCTGCGGAAAAAAAAATTGACCAACTTTATTTGTCAGTTGCCTCGCATTACACGGTACAGAAACTTATGTATGGAAAGAAATTAAACTAAAGAAATAGTCTGAATTATTTATCTCTGCTTTATAAAAAAGCAATAACGAGAAAGCATTATTAATTTCTTTTATTTCCCATAAAATCTATATATTGTGTTATTTTAAATAGTGTAAATATATATAAAGCTAACTGTGCGGCATTCAAGAGGACATTGCAGTATATAACCATATAAAATTTTATTAAAATTAGTTTTAAAATGTACAAGTTAGAAAAGTTTTTATAGTTATTTATTATTCAATCTTCTAAAATATTACCAGCATCAGTAAGATATATTATAGTTAAAAACAAGTAGGTTAAGTAATAAATAATTTCTCGAGACAGTTGAGATGTCTTACACTTCAGTACAGACAGTACAAGTTGTTAGGAAATTACTTACCCACTGTTCTTGCTCCACAGGACGAATAGATACAGGAAATGAAGCAACAACTATCAAACCGCCAAAGGACACAAAACCAGACGTCAGTCCTAGTTTATTTAGTACATTAAGTCGCCAGTTTCTGGACTCATTTTGACTAGAAACATGTACATACCGCACGCTGACCATTACACCTCCTTAAATAGGAAGAAAATAGAACTTCAGTATAGAATAAAGAATAGAAACTTTAACAAGTATTTCCTGTTAAATAATATTTCAAAAATATCTTAAGTTTAATAAAAAAACAAAGCAGTATCATAAATAGCGTAAAAGATTAATAATATATAACACTGAAAATTATAATTCTTTGAATATAAAATAAAATGTCACTGATGTTTCTTTAAATGGTTAAGTCTGCTTGGATTTTGATTTTCAGCTGCATTACTTAAAAATGAAATCCGTTAATCGTTTACGTCTTAATTCCTGACCTTTTAATTCATTATATTTAAAACTGTGAGTAAAACCTTAGCAAAGCATTTTCACAGTACTAAAGTTTTGAGTACACAAATATGCCCTACAAAAAAGAAAAAAAGTCGGCTTTTGATTGATATGAATTAAACAGAGGCTTTATGACTTTTTTTGAACTAATTTATGAGGCTTTCTTAGTTTTTATTTTTGTAAATTGGTTTTCTTTTGTTTCTTGGTTTTTATTTGATAAATTGTGTTTTTACACAAGGGAAAACTTTTTGTAATTCTTAGAAAGAAGAAAGCTCTTTATTATTTACTGAGTTGCAGCTAAAGATTGGTTTTGAAAAATATATAGTTATGAATTCCTTTTAAGCGAGTATAAATAAAGCCTTATATAATTTCTGTTTATAGTTATGAGTTTCATTTAAGCGAGAGTAAATAAATCATTATAGCATTTCTATTTATAGTCATGAATTTCTTTTAAACAGGCATATATATATAAGACTTTGCATTATTTCAAACAGAGTTTGATGCGTGTACTCTGGGCAATATGCTTTACACAGGGTTTTTCAAAACGATAGCACAGCGAAATAATATTTTGAGGGCTTTATGCTCCGACTTTAATGATCTGGTATAAGCAATTGTTCTTCAGCAGGAAACTTCAGCAATTTGCTCATTTGCCATGTTGGAAAAAGTGTTAAAAATCTTAAAATTTGTACAGAAATAAGCAACAGCTAGCGAAAGGAAGTGTGTTTTGTGAAAAATATCCTTTGCGGCAGTAAAATGAGAATACAGATTCAGGGGCTTCAGTTTTTACTAAAACCGCAAATAAAAGTAAACAAAGTTCTTTTTCATGTAATGGAATTAAATTTTTATATGACTCTCACTGTCCATATATCTATCTTTAGTTTTTCGAGTGAAATTGATTTGAACCATATAAGTTTGACATGAGTTAAAAGCGACCCATTTACCTTTATTTTCTTCGGGTGAAAATCATTAGAATCATGTACTTTCGGAAACTTTTTTCAAGCAACTGTTTTCAAAGTATTCGGTAATATAGAAAGATTTTAAGCAGACAAAAATGAAACATGGTAGGCATGAAGTATACAAAATATATTTTTTCAAAATATATCTTATTATAACTGATACACTTTCTCATCTACTCAAACCATTCCTCAAAACTGTGGGTCCACATGTCGAAAGACATATGCTTAGTGCACTGGGCGAAGGCAGCAAATGCTGTGTCGGAGGCAGAAAATAATGCTCAGCGCAACCGTTCCTTGAATTTTAGGGTATGAAAAAATTTACGCTGGGCAAGGTCAGGATTGTAAGCAGGATGAGTGATTTCACAGATGATTAAGGGGTAGAAAGATTCCACTGTCCGTGTTACAGTGCAGTTTAGGGCATTTTCGTGATGAACAGCGATTCCACTTCCCGGACGCTCGCTGACAGACAAATAACTATGATTCATTCGATAGTAATAATAAGACCCTTTAGCGGCCCCGTCGCATTGCAAACTGCTCGATTGGAGAACATGGTATCTATTTACTTGCTAACTCTGCATCTCCGTTTCTGCGTTTGGTGTTTGCTCATCTGGAAAGATCTACTGTCTCCAATCCGATTTTGTTTGGAACTCATAATACGACAGAAAATGTTAATCACATATTGCTATGCTTTACACTGCGTTAAACTGCTCTTGAAGAAATCTTTCAGTCATTACCCTGCACGAGTTCTGGCTTTTGTGCCGTTGTCAGATTGTCCGGATGCATCTATAACTAAGTTATTGAGCAGTGGAAATGGCCGTACGGGATCGTCTGAACTTAACTTATGCAGATGTTCAAGGATAGAAGTATCAGTTTGTCCTTTTCAATCATACGACACACTCTGTGTTGTCGCAATCGCAGTACGACTGTCATATGTTAAAAATTCCTCACACAACAGTGATGTAGTATGAAACGGGGGTTCAGGGTCAGAAGTTCGCAGGCGGAGGCGCGGAGTCAGCTAGCTGATAACGGAAAGACCGAGATAAGCGTTATAATTTGATAAGAGATTATCTTGTATTGATTTTCCGGAGTTAATCTTTTTAGCCTTTATTTTTTCTTCGTATGCCAGCTACCTTACTGCATATATAATGATTAATTCTTATGTAACATTACCACTTATTTTCGAATTCAATGACTGATTCACAATGCCTTGAGTTTTAGATGTAAATTTTTAATTTTTAAGGTATATTTTAAGATTTTCAACTTCCTATATACTGAATTTTACTTTATTTCTTAAACCTTTTTCATAATACAGCATTTACTTTTCGTAATCTTAATTACATTACTAATTTTTACTATTTATTTCATTTTACACAGAATTTTTTGTCATACGTTTTAGCCAATACTTTTATTTTAACTTCTTTGTTATGTTTTACCAACGTAATTACTAAAACACGCGTTTTTATTTATTATATTATTTAATTTAAATGTAATTTTTAACATTTTCGTACATTTTAACGTTTGCAATCTTAACAATATTCTGAATTTTAACATATGTCTTATATTTTCTGATCATATACGTGACCTCCAGTTAAATTTAGTTGTAAAATTTAATTTCTTTCATACATTTTAACCTTCATAATTTCCAATATAGTATTAATTTTAACATAATTAATATATTTTCAAATTGTATAGCCGACATTTTTTTAGTTTTAGCTGCAGGTTTTAAAGACTTTCATACATTTTATCTCTTATCAAATTATTACTCTTATCTCGGTCCTTTCCCTTATCTGCTAGCTGTTTCTTCACCTCGTCAGCGTATTTGCTCAGCCTCCTGCCCGTGAATCCCCGTTTCATACTACTGGATTATTTAGAATGCCATTTATATGTTCTCTTCAGGAAAAATCCTTATGTTTGCAATGTGCGTAACATAGCTTTTATATCGAGCATTTTATATGAATGCATTTGCATATTCATATTCACACAGAAGAAATCTTTTAGATTTGCTCTATGCTATAGTTTATTCAAACAAAAGGAAAATTTAACTGCACCTATACATATTCTCTCTGGAGTGAACTTCTAATATGTAGGGTACATTTTTTCAATAGGAAGCTAGGCAATTGCTTAGAGACATCTGTCTTATTCAAAATAAAAATAAATAAATAAATAAATAAATAAAAAAACACCGTGTTATCGCAACCGCAGGACTATCGTTACACTATTCGTCGGCTGGTTTTTGCCGTAACATAACCAATTAAAAATACCAACAAAATATGGAGCTTCTGCCTAAAGTCGGAAACGTCCAACAATTTGTTATGACTACAACCTTCTCGAAAATCGGGCAAAATAATCATTTGGATATTCTTTCGCGTTATCACATTTTTTTTCTGATGATATATTAACGCAATTTCCCTCATTCCAAATGCACCACAAACACTCAGCTGGACTTTTCTTTGACAAGCCACTGGCGCGCCCATACTGCACAACAACGTCAGGCTTGCTTCTTTCCTTTTACAAATTTGGCAACATTTCCGTGTTGCCAGATCTAATAACTTTCAGTGATGCCTTACAGTACTAGTTTTTTTCTAAATAATTTCAAAAAGATAAAAAGCAAAGGCAATTTCTTAAAGAGCAGGTCTTGAAAAAAGAAAATTCTAAGTACTAAGTTGAATTTTCTTTTTGGAGGGCTGGAAAAAATATTAAGCATTTTATATTTTTATTAAATGTTTTCATATTACCATCAACGACTGACGGTAGTCTGAAAGTTAATCTTATTTGATACATGTCTTAAACGGGAACCATGGATCTACGACCGATTGTTTTTCAAGTGCTATTCAGCCATGCAGCGTTTCAGAAATAATTTATATATCGGTAAAGTTAACTACCTCAAGATCTGGACACTTTTAGACCGGACTAAAGACTACTATTTATAACACATACCTATTCATCAGTGGATAACCTTCCTTCTCCTTAATTAACTATATCTTCTAACTATGTAATCTATGCAAAGGAATGCAATCTGTCTAGACGAAGAGCGCCAGCGTCAGACTGCTTCTTAAGATGCATTGATACAAATAAAACTTTGAATTATTTTAAATTTTTCAACTGAAATGTTAAATTCTTTTTAATTTTTAAGATTATGAGCTTCTGTTACATACATTATTAGTTCAAATTGTTTAGGAAATTTCTGTCATTAGTTCTTACCAATGATGGCAGTAATGTACAGCATGATGTTAAAAATTCCATTCTGCGAAGGTTCTGCACTTGCTTGACTGAAAAAAAATCAATATAAATCATTATTACATATTTAAAAAGATATTTTTATGCTTTCAAGCCTTAAAAAGTTCAATCATGAAATTCATTTAAGTTTTCCGCCATTTGAAGACTTAAAAATGTAATCATTTGATGCATTGTTAAGTCTTCAAATAAAAGTAATGAAGTTAATTGCAGTAATTTGATAACTACAACAAACCTTTGAAAGAAGTTTACGTTTGCATTAGCAAACCATTCTGATTCCATAAGTGCTTTGACTTCCTTGAAAGTGTTTTAATTATTAAATAACTAAGAATTTACTGAACGAAAGAATCAGGGAATTAAAGAAACGTTTTTCAACTCTAACATGAGACGAGAAAATCATTACCGAATTCAAGAACCATTTAATTCATATTCGTATTTTCATATTTTCCATGCTATTTGAGATACATTCATAAACTGCATAAAAGTATGAAAATTTTACTAATAAATTTGAAATTCCTTGTTAAACTTTTTTTATGGTTCTTGTAAGCCTCATTAGTTTTTCTGTATTTAAATGGAAAGATACAAAATTTGAAGGATTTATTTATATGAAGGAATTCATATAAATAAGAATAAAACAAACATTTGTTTAAGCAACTGTTTTAAAATGAAAAATGATAAAGAAGAAACAGAAAGTAGTAAAGCATTACCTGAAAATACAAAAAACACTTTACATGATCACATTCCACTTAAGCATTACATAAAATACTGTACAAATGTATTATAACGATGTCACTTTTTATGTCTTGCAATAACAGAATCTATTGTATCTGTACGCTATTAATGTTTACGCTTTTTTTGATAATATTGTTTCAACACCAAAATATGTTAAAGTGAAAAATAATCTTTCTGTTATACTTTTCTCTGAAATTTTATTTGGTTCCAAGTTTGTCTTTTTTTAGACTGCAAGTGATTTTGAGGTCAGATTTTTTGAAAGACAGGATTTACATCCTTTGCTTTTTCTGTTATTTAAAGTTAAGTAAATTTAATATTATATATTTTTCGGGTGTATCGTCACTGACAGTATTTTACTGATAAATTAGAAGAAAATCTGTACAAAAACATAAATATATCTCAATACTTCTTATTCATAGCCTACCCTAGTTAATTTCTGTTATTAAACGTAGATGTTACTGTAAAGAAAGTAATGACTCAAGACACGTGTCAAAGCTGTCTAAAAATATGTAGAAAAAACTGACGCAGCTAGAGTGCTACAAATCCTACGCTGGTCATAGCTGTGATGACGTCCTGGGGCAGTAAATACCATCAGGCTGAAAAATATTCGATCTGAAACATTAGTTGAAATAGGCCAGAGAGAAACAAAACTTGTTTCACGCAAAATACTAATTTTCTACTAAATATCATTTATATTATAAATTTCTGATAATTCAACTCATTATTACAGTTTAAAAAGAAATTAATAAACGTTTTCTTATACGTAATGTTTCTAATCTCTTTTTACACAACTTCAATAAACGGAAAAAAGGACACAGCTTTAATACTTTTGCGTAGTACTGTAGGAATAGCAACAGATTATGAGAAAGCACACAAATGGTATTCGATACTGATTCGCAGTTACATTGGACATTAGAAATGCTCACGATCACCTCCAATCAACCAGCCTGTTCACTTAGATAGCAAATTAACGTCAAAAACAAAAATTATTCCATGAATTTATCTGCTCAGCTACAACTCCAAATCTAAATGTCATCAATTAATTACATTCTTTCTGTGAGGAAGTAATAATGAATAAACACAACACTAACTGACAGATTTAAAAAAAAGTAGATAACAGTCACACGTTTCAAAGTCAAGTAAAGGTAAGCTATGGAAGTGCAGAAGATACATTTTGCAAGGAATTTTACTAAGAATGGAAAAGCGTTATTGGTTATGAGCATGTTAATTCAATAGAATCTCCCACAATGATCGATAGTGTTCCAAATTTTCTGCAACTTTAAGGGTATGAAATCCGGCAGTTCCAGCAGCAACATTTCAACCCCACTCAGGGCTGAAAAGTTATTGCTGGAAATGCTGGATATAGTTTGCTGTTTAAAGCATTATAGGCCACTGAAATATATTTTTACTGGAAATAATATGTGTCAAATTACGGCAAGATGTTGAGCTTTGATTGCTTCTTAGCACTGTGAAAATTAGAGTAATTACCACTAGTACTTTTAAATAATACCAATGTTAAGTATACTTGAAATCTGTTTTATTATTATAAAACGCGGAACAAAAACATGAATGAGTGAAGCATTTTGATGAAAGCAACTATAAATTAAAATTTTGTGAGCAGATCATTATAATATTTGTAGCACACTTTTGATTCTTTCCCCGATCTTTACACTTTGATTTTTCTAAAAAATTCTCCGAACACTTAGCTGAATATTTTAACATTTTTATTCGCCAGTTATGATCACATTGCTTTAATCAATAATTATAAAGCTTGGTTGCTTGAGTTATGGAGAAGTGTATGAACAAAGTCTGCCTTGAAAAGAACTCCTTCAATGAGAGCTTTTTGAGGAAAGCGGCTGTGTTTTCCATGGAGAAAACAACCGTGCAGCCAATCTGTTTGTAAGGATTATGTTAATTTTATTAACAGTTAAATTTTGAATTAAACTTCCTTTCCTATCGCTTCTTAATTTCAACTTACTACTTCCGGCCAGAACGTAGTTTTAGAATCACGTCTGAATATAAATTGAGAAAGAGTGGTATTTAACCGTGAAGTTCTAGTGTCTTAGTCAGAGAGATACTACTAGATATTCTGGAAAGCACGCGTCCGCCTTTTTAGGCTACTCTCTCTTAAGCTGTCTCTCTTAAGTTGAAAAAATAAATGTTAAGCTCTGCAGTACTTTAGGCCCTTAATAGCTTCGCAGTCAAGTAGCGTTAAGGGGCCAACTCCGTTAGAATCTTGATAGCTTCGGAGATATCATTTTAGTTAAGATTAGTTTAGTTTAGTTCTTAGTTTCCTAAGTTCAAGCCGAGTGTCGGCTTTATTGTAAAACTCCAAAGACGGAGTTCTGTTAAACTTTAGTTGGATTAATAAAGGGTTATTTCACCCTTCTCACTTGTTGTTTTCTACATCACGAACTCAAGCGATTATTCTCTTACTTGTTCTTAAGATTCTTCACATTCAACTGTAACTTAAAATTACACAGTGTGGAGTCCTACATGTTTTACTTCCGGAAGTCGACCCGTGATGCTATTATCAATGTTCTAGTTTCAGTCAGTCGGCCACTAGTGGACCTAAAAGAAAATCGAAGTTAAGGAATAACGAGAATTTGAAGAATTTTAACGCAAACTGTATTCTAAAGATCTTTCTTCTATCAGACTGAGATTCGAAAAAATAAATAAATATTTTTTCCTTATTTCTATATTATATGAGATCTTCATGGTTATATGAAGAAATAAAGATAATTTTTAGAGGACATTTGCTGAGAGAATATTTTAAAATGCATAAATTGAAAATCAGCCTATAAAAATTATAAATAAAATATTATAATATACATAGAAATTATATTGCGAATTCGTATATAATAAATTTAATCCATAGCATAAGACTTCTATAAACGAAGCATGTTCTAATATTGAAAAATTTGAGTTCTTCAACCAAAGATTATTTAAAGAATTAAATTACTTTTTAACAAAAGTATAATGCACTTCATAAAAATAAAGCGCACTTAGAATAATGAGGATAGCTATCCATTTATCAACCAGAAATGTTATTGTCTATAGATAAAGCTAAATTATCTCACAGTGCATCAAAGCAATCAAGAACATTCTTTAATTTTTCGATAGTTTAAATATAATCATTATTATCTGAACATTTAAAAAACCTTTTCGCAATATATCTAACGTTGAAAAAATAAATGCATTTATTTTAATTAGGGTTACAAATAAAAGAAATACACATGTTTGAATATTTTAAAAATAAGCGACATTATTCTTAGATTTTAATGAAATAGCTCAAATAAAATACATAAGCTTAAACCATTTCAACGGGGTTAGTATTTTTAAAGTCTGGATTCAAACACAAGACACTTCTTCCACAGGTTAATAAACTGATAAATTAAAGTCAGTTTCAATAAAAATAGATTCAGCATCTTTTGAACAATGCACGACCCGGTTTTACTTTCTTTATGGGACTTTGGTAAAGAGAGTTAGTTCAATTACAAGGCGTAAGTAGCTTGACTTTTATAGCAAAGAGCACACTTAAGTATATAAATTTAAATGTAATCACATTCAAAAATATATGTGACAGCTAAAAAGAAAAATGAAGGAAAATCACAGTCATCTAGCTTAGATGTCTAGATGATTAAACACCACATTAAATCAGGCATCTTATAAGCAGGTAGACATTCGAGTAGACTCTCTCATTCCAGACATAGACAATCCTCTTGCACCTAAACAGCGAACAAGAAGAACGATTTAATTGCACACATTCAGTTATAAACAAGCATTACACAATCATTAACCACTCAAGGATGAAAGTAATGAAAGAATTCAGGTTAAATATTTTTATGCGTTCTTGACAAATAATACATTTTTATTGTAAAAATGTTTAATGTAAATAATTGGGTGAATAAACGGTTACTGCGTCCGTTGCACGGGGAATTTATGTTCATTTTTTATATAATTTTATTGCAATTTTAAACTATAATATTCTGCGTTAGTCGAAAAAATATTAAAACGTTTATTAATTTAGAAAGCAACTATGCTGATAACTGATTTCTGTGTTACCTCGGCATTGTAAGAAAAGTTTATGTATTTTAAGGTATTTGCCAGAACTTGCAAGATTTCCTTTCGTATATATGATTAACCAGCACAGCTGGATCATGCTATTTGATTCAATGTGTGCAGTCATAAGCTGCTTCTCGACAGGGAATAGATAGTTTTCCCTTTTGTATATTTATTATGTCTGCTTTCCCAACTTGCTGTTATAATATTTTCTTTTTATTGTGCCATTGTTTAAAAATTATATTTTAAATTATTTTTGCGCCCTTTGAACTAGAAAGAAAGAGAATGCAATAGATATATGTCAAATTGAGTGTAATGTCACAAATTCATCTTTATATAGCGATGAATTAAAATGATTAGGTGCATAGAGAAAGAAACATAACATCATCTCCTTTTTCTAAAAATAAATTGCTTCTGAAGAATAAATTTAGCATTACGCGTTTTTGAAAATTTCATTTAACCTTTTTTGAGACCAATTTTGAATGCCCTAAAAACGCAATTTAGATGAGCTTTACTTACTTCATTTAACCCTTTATTGTAACATTGCTACAAATTTATAGCAGAAATCCTTTTAACGATCATATTCCAACTCCAGCTTTTTTTTTTCCTTTCTGCTGCATCCCTTACACCAGTTTTTAAATAAAAAATTAGCTAGAATACAAAATTATTTTAGTCAAAAAATGGCACCACAAATCCCATTGTTAACTGTGGTAAAAGTTATTTCATCAATTTGTATGATATATGTGTTAAGTTTCAACTAAGTTTCTCAGCATCTTAAATCAATTTTTGCATCTTTCCTCGTTTTGTATCTTTTTTCCCTACAGGTATGGAGCATTAGGAACCTTTAATGAAACATGCAGTTTTATTATGATTTTGAAAAAAAAAAAAAAAAATTAAGCTTGATTTTAACTTCATTTTAACCCATCACGAAATTCTTTTAAACATTACTTTAAACAGTTGATTGCTTTTCCTTACTTTTCTGATGTTAACTATACATGCGTTATATTCACGTAAAGGTACAAAAGCTACATACAGTCAGATGGATTAATCTGAAGTGTTGACTTTAATAACTTTCATCTCTTGAGTCACTTTTAAATTTTCATGTTGGCATAACAAGGTAACATTCATAACACATACATTTAACTTATTGTATATATATATACACGTATATGCAAATGATGATGCAGCGCTAAGTATTACCACACACAATTTATTGCAGAAAAACATTATATTTTTAGCCTATTTTACACATTAAAAAATGTGCATTTAATAAAAGAAACGTAGTTCGGGACAGAACAGAAAGGGTGACAGGGTCAAATTTAACAATGGGGAGCGGCCCACATAAGCATATTTTAGAGCATTAAAGACTGCAGTTTTGTTGTATGAAATCAAAGGAGAAAAAAAAGGAACTGAGAAGAATTACGTTTCACTATTTTATATTCTCTAGAGACAGACTCACTTTTATTTTGTTTTTGAGTAATAAGAGTTTTCATCTGACTTCTGTTACTAGATTGCGAATTTATTCTGTAGTGCTACTTAAATATGTTTGTCAACAGTGTTATGTAAATACAGATGGAACCAATTAATTACAGAAATAACGCACTAAATTATAAACATGTGTGGTTTAATGTGTATGCAATATTTGTTGAGGATCGTGCTAAAGCTTAACTATATTCAAAATGAGTAAAAATAATTTTAGATACAACTTAACATTTTTTTATTACTATTGTTTTGCATTTTATTTCGGAAAAGTTCACAAGCTTCATTTTAAAGAATAATATTATCGGGTAGTTATATTCACATTAATTTTAAAGCAAAACGAACCGAAATAAGTTCCATATGATCAGAGGAAATCCTACATTAATCACTGATCTGCTTTCTAAGAAATGTTAAAATAAATTTGAAAATAAATAACTTTTTATATATTATTTTCTATATGTGAACACGATAAGTTTCATAAGATGAATGTTATGTCATAAGTTTTATACAAATAACTATTTAAATTTAGAATTACGCTACAACTCACTATGTATTTTTTTTCATACCTTATAAGTGGTAACAAGGGCCTGATATTTCCATTAGCCAGACCTATTGTATATGGAACTAAAATAGCTATCATAAGCAGGATTGTGAAAAAAAGAGCAAACTTGCCGCTGTGTTCCCATCCACATTGCATAGCCCGTGTATGAATAGAGAAATCTGTTAAAAAAATAAGTACATAAAGAGATTGTGATAATACACAGTTCATAACTTTTTCATGCAATATTATAAAATTAAGACAAAAAAATACTTAGAAAGGAATACAAAAAAGAAGGTGAAATATTAAATAATAATGCTTGAGAAGAACACTTACGAGAAAACTGTTTCCTAGGTAAGTCAAATTTGATATGTGGAACAGATGCACTACGAAATTTTTCCATGATGAGAATATTCTATAGAAAAACTGCAATGAAAACAAATGACATTAAAAACATAAAATATACGTCACTGCATTAAAATATGCAAAGTATTCGGAAGAGTTGGTTAGAAGGTTTATTTTTTTAAATATTGAATATCTCCTTCCAGTTACAAAAGGAAAACAAAATAAAATTCCAGTTTGTAAAATACATCTAAGATCTTGGAAAAGCTTGATGGCGTAAAAAGATGTATAAAGAAGAAGAAACTTGAAGACGTGGGCGAATTCAATAATTTCCTTTTTATTCATGGCTGACATACATTTTTGGTTAATCCAGTACAAATAAAATGAACGCTATAGCGCTATTGTTCTTAAACAAGTTCTACATCGGTACCGATAGATTTACGAAACATATTTTTGAAGAGAGCAGGCTGCGGCAAGTTGCAAGAGCGAAACGAAATATGACGCCGCAATTCAAAAGATGCCTGGAAGAAAGTTAAAACGTTTCGATACTCCTTAATTGCAGCGTTATATAAGGCAACTCAATGAGGATTAATTTAGAAATGACGCAGTTTAGATTATAAACAGTTCCTATTTTTAGACATAAGACTATAATTGGGAGAAAAACCCAAATTAAAAAGAAGGATAAAGGGAGATATTGCCAAATGAAATTAGAAGTTTGCTTTACCATATTTTTATCTTACATATACATTATTCTTTAATACATTAAATGCAAGAAGTTTCCCACCTATACATCCATAATTCGTAAAGATATATACGGCTAATATTTTCTTCTGATTAGCTACGAATTTAACCAAGAGAACTCCTTCACCTAATAGAGAACTGTTAATCGGCAAAACTGGCAATTTTTTTAGCTCTTCCCCAAATCCGCTGAAAATAGCGCTGAATTTCGTCCAATATATACATCAGAAATAATCTAAGTCTATTAAATTTTCTCCGAATACCACCGCAAAGTTTTATTCCCAAAAGTACGGAATATTTTGTTTCTAACTCATTACAACATAATGAATGTGCTACAAATTAGAATTTTTGCTCTGCGTTGACACCATAAAAATTTAAATTACACTTATAAAAATTTGCCACCAATAGTGTCCTCATAAAATTTACTATCTTAGTTTCAGAAATATTGTAATTAGAAGTGCATATTTGAGGGTAGCTTTCCCTTTTCTGAACATCATTTCCCAATTTGCTGTTGTGCTAAACAAGAAAAATTTAATCATACTGTTAGAACAACAAATGTAAAAGAAAAAAAATATGTTATGGGCAGATTATGATTTGCTCCATCTTCAGAATTCCCAAAACTTCAGAATTCAAAAAGTTGCTCTTCAAAACTCAAACATTCCTT